AACTCCTGACCTTGAGTGATCTGCCCGCCTTGGCCTCCCAGAGTGCTAGGATTACAGGCGTGAGCCACCGCGCCCGGCCCAGCTATTTTCATTTCTTCTTTTCCTACCTCTCAGCTTGCCAAAATTGGATTTAAAAATTCATGTTTGTGTGTCCTTTCCTAACCAAAAAGTTAGATAATTTAAAACTTGTATTTCTACCTTTACACTAAATTAAGATGACACCTTTACTTTTGTGTATACTACAGTTTTTTTTTTCTTAGTCTTTGAATTAATAGCCATTTTTTTAAAAAAGTTGTTCACCATTGGGTAAAAATCCACTTAAGTAATAACCGAGAAAACAAGACTACCCCCACCAAACTGCTCATATTAGATGCAAGATTATCGGTTATTTAAATTTTGACTTTAAAGTGGATATTATTATTGCTGATCATTCAAAATATTGTCCTTTGTGGCAACATTCTGACTACATTTGTAGAATATGAAAGAAGCATGGGGTTGAAAGATGCTCCATGAAATCAAGAGAGCAGATGATACTGGCTCCTCACAAAGCTATTTTAAGTTTGAATAGTATAATTTATATGCACTATTTAAAAATTTATATGGCATTGGTACAGCCAAACTATTCTAATGCTTTATTAATTAAACTACTGCAAGAACATTTTTTCCCCTCTGAATTTAATGAAGGTAAATAATTAAACTGGTGTTGGGGTCACATGTTCCCCAATTCTCCAAAATTATTTTTTTCATTTCCTTATTCTTTAGTATTCAAATTCAGATATATGTGCCCAATTATAAATATCTTTTTTTTCTATTTCTCTTTTGCTATCAGCCCACTGATTTTTAAAATAGATTGGTGCACCCTGCTAGTTGATAAGTTTGAAATATTTAAAGATATGCATATTGAATATACATATTCATAATGTATGAATATCTTAGATATCATAATATACACATTTCCTAGCTGAGGCCTGTATAGTACCTTTTGAAATGCTTATCCAGGCCTTCATGAGTCAATTGAAAATATCAGTGCTTAGTCACTGTGTATGTTTAAGTTTATGGGAATTTCTTAAGCAATGAAGATAGTAAGAACTGGTTGATTGACCTTTATGAAGCAGATAATTAAACAGACACAAAGGTGGGGCAATTTAAAAAGTCACATTGAAATACCTGGTTTTATTTCTATGAAAGTAAGTAGAATCAAACAGTTCCTGTTATCAGATTAGTGATACCAGGAAGATGAGTCTTTTTTTTCCCTTCCGAGTTGTTTTTTTCCACTGGCGTCACAATGGCGTCACAACCATTTCTGATCAGGAAGTGCTTTAAAAGATGCACATGGCTTTGGTGTTCCATTATTTGAAGGACTCTGAACATAGCAGACTTGAGGAGCCAAGTTATTATTTGAGCTTTATCTGGCTTGTGGCGTGATCAGCTGTGTGGAGATAGTAGGCTGAGAAAGGTAAAGGGCATACGGCTAGGACTTTTCATTTCCTTTGACTAGCCAATGACTTCTCCTTATCAGATCCTCCATTTCTGTTGAATTTAATTAACTGACTGACCGAAGATGCTGATGTCTAGGGGGACGCACAGAGACTTGTGTCATATGCTGAATTAGCCCTTTCTGGTTCCCCTTCCTGCTGTTTGCCAAGTCACAAGTCTGTGACCCACCTGTGTGTGGTGCCACTAGCCAGCTTTCTTAAAGTGTCAGAGGCCTTCCTCGCTGGAGAAAGAAACACTAGCTTGAGAGCCTGAAGGTGTGAGATTCATTTTGGCCTTTGCTATTTTTAGTAAAGCCTTTTAGCACTTTGTGCCCAGCTCCCCATCTGTACATGGAGATGGAAGTTACTGTGAAATATAGTTGATTGTTGCAGGTGGCGGCTCGGTCCTTGGGTGGGAGGCACCCCTGGAGCTGACTATCCAAAGTCATGGTTAACGACACCCTCAGGAAACAGGCTTTGTGTGCTGGCACACACGGTTATGCTTGTTACCTGGGAGGGATTGCATCTTCTCTGTTGAGGTTTACTTTATACCAAATACCTGCAGCAGTATTTACAAAATAGCTGCATAGGTCTGGAGAGTTGCCAAATAGTATTTTTCTGTAATACTTAAAAAAAATCTTGGTATAAGTTTCATAATAAGAAACTCAGAAAATCCTCTAGTACTACTACTAGTACTAAATTGGAAACTGCTGAATTACTTACAGTGCTTGACATAACTACACAGTTTAGACATGAAAGCTTTCTTATGATAAACACCAGGGAATGGATGTTACCTCCAGTCTTATAGAAGGTCCGGAAAATATGGTGATGCATACTCAGATACACAGTTCCATTCAGATAATATCCCACCTTAATTCAAACAGGTAACAATGACCTTAATAGTGAGAGAGCATCAACCTTTGGTTTTCAGTGCAAGTGAATGAAGCTTAGATCTAAGAAGGGACTTGGAAATAGCTTCTGAGAAAAGATGACTATTTTTAGGAAAATCTGGAAATAGCTTTTCTCGGAAAGGTCAAGTAAATATGACAATGTTTGCTATGCACTTCTAACAATCACTTAAGATAGCCTTTTGGTGTGATACAAGTGCTAAATAGCCAGTTTGATGGAGTTTACAGTTACCTATGGCTGTTTTTAGAATCATGTGAAGATTCTGAAATTTAGTTACTGAATATTAACTTGGATTCTTAAATTGCTGAGATATGTGATTCCATTTGTCCTTATAAGTTCCAAAGTTGAATATGCAAATGGAACTTGACACATACAAGTCAATATTTACATGCAAGTTTGGTTTTAAGAACAGAAATTATTATGTATAGATATATATTAGTATGTATATATAACTGACCTTTCAACAACATGGGCTTGAACTCTGTGGGTCCACTTACATGAGGATATTCAATGAAACGGATCAAAACTACAATATTGGGATGTAAAACCTGCATATGCAGAGAGCCAACTTTTTGTATATGTGGGTTCTGAAGGGCTGACTGCAGGACTTGAGTATGCATGGATTTGGGTATATGCAGGGTCTTGGAACCAATTCCCTGTGTATAACAAGGGACAACTATATAAATGTGTGTATATCTCTATTCCCTCCTAATAACCTTCCTAAATAACAGTTAGGGAATAAAGAAGGATATAAACCCATGAGGACAAAGACAAGAGAAGAGAATGCAGCAGGTGAGAAGTGTCCATAAAATTTCTGGAGGAGGAAAGCAGATGAATGAGTGGTCACTTTCTTAGCCTTGAGCTTTTCCTGCTCTGCTAAATTCTTTTGGTGGGGAAGAAACTAAGAAGAAGCAAACCAACTCATGTCACTTATCCCAGGAAGGCTCAGGAATTGAAGGCAACAGAAAGGTTGGTTGAAAGTCTACATGGAGAGTAGACCTAACTCCCCAGCCCCTATAGCAGGTGGCCATTTCTTCCTTGTCTGGTAGAGAGAGGGCCTCAGTCTATGTAGAAAAATGGAAAGGAGGGAAGTCTGAGAAAAATCATAAAAAATAGCTTCCCAGAACTAAAATGCATGATTTTCTTGATTAAAAGAAAACAGAGTACCCAGTACAAGGAGCAAAGACCCACACCAATGCACATCATGAGATTTCGTGAAAATGGGGACAAATAGTAATTCCTGGAGTCTTCTTGCAAGGGGAAAAACAAGATTTTATAGAAAAGGCCTAACATTAGAATAATATCCAAGTTTCAACAGCAACCTTAGAAATGAGAAGACAATGCCTTTGAAATGATGAGAGAAAATAATTTCCAAACTAGCACTTTCTACCCACCCAAATTATGGGATCTTGTGTGAGGATTGAAAAAGAAATTCGCATACATGCAAGTTTTTACCAAATTTATCTTCCATGAACACTTCTTGGTTCCAAGGAGTACCAGAGAATATGTGCCTCCACAAAAGGGGGTCGGGGGCTTTGAATGGGGAAGATGTGGGATCTGTGATCCAATATAGGAGGAAGGCTCAGGGAGCTCCGTGAGGCTACAAAGAAGTCCTGGCTGGCTGCTGCGCGTGAGGCCTGGAGCACAGCAAGGGTGGACGAAAGCAGGAGGTTGGAAGGAAACAAGAGGGGTGTTTCTAGGAACAAAATGGATTTTGACCATATTGAAAGCAGTGTTAGAGTATTCTCAGATAATAGGGAATGTGTTAAGTGCTGCATGAGAAAATAAGGAAACAAAATAATGAAGCAAAAATTCTCAAAAATGGAGCAAGGAAAGAAAATGTAATTATAGTGACACAGCTATGAATAATATTTACATACTGATAATGGAAGCACTAAATATCAATTTAACCAAAAACTTGTAGTGTGTATTGGAATATATTGGGGGTAAGAGGGGTTTTCAAGATTTTATATAAGGAAGATAATTTTTAAAATGTAATCAATCAGGACAATAGCAGTATCAATATTCCGTTCAAAAATACATAGATAAACTCCGAAAGAAAGAGCTAAGAGTTAAACATGGTTGCCTTGGAAGTGGAGAGGGAAGGGGAAAGAAAACTGCTGTGTTTTCTAAAAAATAAATCTTGTAGTTATTATTTGTCTATGAAAACTAAGTTCATATATTGTTTCTAAAAACTTTTTTAAAGTTAATTTTAAAAGATAGGAAAGCAGTAAGATTTTGTATAGTTTTCCACCAAAAATGATTATAAACAACACTTTTGAGATCTCAGGTAGAAGTTCTTATTCCATAACAGCATCTGATAAATATCTACTCCTACAATACATGCTTAAGAAATGTACCTAAATTTTATCAGTGATATTGTTGTCCTTTGAAAGTGTTTTTCCTTCATTAATACACACACATACTTGTTATAGAAAAGTTGAAAAATCGCCTAGTCCCATTTGTGACTTCATAGAGGAGGAGTTTCTGGGGTTGTTAATACACAGTGCACATACATTCCCACCCTTGCATTTCTTTTTGCTTTGTAAGAAGCATCCAAAGAGTGAGTCACGATTTGCAAAATATAACCAGTCAATTAAATCTTCTGCTTTGTAGGGTGGAGAGCACTGCTACTACCATGGAAGCATCAGAGGCGTCAAGAACTCCAGGGTGGCTCTGTCTACCTGCAATGGACTTCAGTACGTGGGAATCTCACTGGGTCCTCCTGCCCTCCAAGCTTGCTTTTACCCATTCACCCTTTCCTTTTTGTCTTTTATAGATATTTATTTTAGTGACTCTTCTGTGCCGCTCCCATGCTAGGGACTGGATATGCAGTGGTGCACAACGAGGGCAAAGTCCCTGTCCTCTTTAACACTTAGTGTTTGTAGGAGGTTCAGAGATTAGACAAGTGATGATACATTAATATTTAATTACCATTTTGGAAGGTGCTATAAAGGGGATGGATAGGGGCTTATGGAGTGACGTACCTAACCCATGAAGGTTTCCCAGAGGTGTATTCCAGAGGATATATCAGTTAGACCTGAGGATAAGTAGCAGTTAGCCAGGCAAGGGGGTAGGTGATAAAGAGAAGACATGCATTGACTTAGAGTCAAGTTCTAAAATAACCATCTGTAGGCACCTTTTAGACCCAAGCACGGTAGCACCTCATGTAAAGAACTAGTTTTGGCCATGTGATGACAAAGGATCTTAAAACTCTTCTTTTCACCCTTTTATAAAAAATCCTGTGTCTCTCAAAATTAAGTATGTTTTGTATGACACAGAGTCGTACTCCTTGATGGAAATTCACAATTTATAAGCCTAAAATACCTCTATTTGCCTGTTCAGAATCAGATGGTTTTAGGTTATTCTTATGTGTGAAAGACCCTTCTGTTTTCTTTCCAACGATACTGGATTTGCCTAACCAGAAATTTGTACTACTGTGTTTCCCTGAAAATAAGCCCTACCATAAAATAAGCCGTAACAGGATTTCTAAGCATTTGTGCAATATAAACCCTACCCCAAAAATAAGACCTAGTGATGAGCGTGGCTACGCAGTGTATCTGCACAACCCATGCATTTCGTCGCAGAGCAGTAAAGAAGACGAGCAGCCCTTCTCATCTGCCCCATTGTGACAACTACTATCCCAGAGGTGACCCGAAAGGTGCGGGCAGCCCCACCAACAAGGTCAGCTCCCTTTGTCAGGTCCCGCCATCCTGTGCGTGCTGCAAACTGAAGCTTTGAGAGGAAAATAACACATCCATCCCCTGAAAATAAGCCCTAAGGTGTCTTCTTGAGGAAAAATAAATATAAGACCCTGTCTTATTTTCGGGGAAACACAGTACATGAATAGCCCTAGATTAGTCTTCTAATATGTCTGTTTAATTTCAAAAATTAATTACATCAGGTGTAATTTATAGGCTCTTGGTGTACACTTTTATAGTTGTTGTAGCCTACGTGCTGTCTAGTATAGCTCTGGGGCCTCAGTGGATTCCATGTGAATTAGATTGAGGGCATTATAAAGGGATTGTGCAGATACACTCTTATTTTAAAGGCACAGTAATGAAGCTCACTAGCCATTTCTTGTTGTTTGCTGTATTTTAAAATTCTCTCCTTGTGCGGTTTCTTTTGTTCTAGTGGTATGTTTGAAGATAATAACTTTGTGTACATGATAGAGCCACTGGAGCTGATTCACGAAGAGGTGAGCCTATGACATCCGATGGTGTTTTACTCTTCCAGCCTCTTTGCCTTTGACCAGGAAAGAGAAAATAAATACAGATTTCAAAGTGCATTGATGCAAATTACCTTATTTCAAACTTATGAATATAATGGTACTGTGAGTTTTGAAGTTTAAGTGGCACATGCCAGGCAAAAAACAAAAAAAACGCAGAAACCAAAGTAATAACTCTAAACCTTAGAGCTTTTTTTAAATGTATAAAAGAAGATAACTTTTAATGCATCCCTATTAGAGCAATTTTTCAGATTTGATGAAATTAATAAATATATGTGACAATGTCTATTAAATTGTCAGTCAAAAAGACTTATAAACATCATAACTAAAGCATTGGTTTTGCATTTTTGCATTCTTTTCCTGTGATCATATTATTCAGGGGCTGATTGTTACATGCTAATTGTCTGCTCTTTTTTGCCTGCCTTCCTGCTGCCTACTTTTGTTCATATAATGATTTGTCCCTATCCTCACCATGGGTAGAAAGAAAGGAACAGTGCTTGAAACCATTTTAAAATTGTGTTGCTGATCCAGTTGTGGTTTTCATTACTCTAGGTGTCTTTTCACCTATAATCAGAATTAAGTGCTTTACTCTAATCAAATTTAGATTTTTTTGATCTTTATTATTATTAATTTTAGTATGCTTTGCAATAAGTCAAGTAATATTGGTAGGATATTTCTAATGAGAATTCATGTTATTGCTCAAGTAATAAATGAATAGCAAAACTCTTATTATGTCTTTTATGTAATCTATTAAGAAGGTTCTTTTTTTATAACTAGTTTTCTGATTATAAAACCCGTAGTTACATTATAGGAAATTTGGAAAAGCAAAATAAACAAAAGCAAAATACTTAACTGAATAATTATCTGTTATCCTATCCTCCAAAGATAACTTCTCTTTACCTTCAAGTGTATGTATATTCTTCTAGTTTTCAGAGATATATTCTAATATTTTAAAAATAAATTGGATAATTATGTTGTAATATAATTTTAAGAAAATAATGTATCTCTCTGAGCCTTAATATCTTTGATTGTAAAATAAAGATAAAAATGAACTGTATGGGGTTTTTGTGAGTAATAACTTGGATAATATATACATTAACAGTGCCTGGCACATACTGTACACTCAGTAATGGAGGCTAATAGTAATAATGGTAATGGTAATAAGATATTCCTAAAAGTATAATTTCTAGGGCAAAGGATATGAGTATTTTCAAGGCTGTTGATAGATGTTGCCAAACTTCTCTCTCAAAGTAGATTACCAATTTCCTCCCACCAGCAACATGTAAGAGTGCTTTTTGCCTTGCAACTATAATGAACTATGAATATCATAATTTTTAAACCTTTGCCAATCTGATGGTAAAAACTGGTGTTTCATTTTTTAAAATTTGCATTTTGAAGGGCCATTAAAGTGTTTAGCATTTTTTCAATCGTTTATTGACCTTTTGTGTTTGTTTCTTTGTGAATTTCCAATTCATGGCTTTGAAGAAAACTAAGGTTTAAGAGTAGCTAATAGAATTATGCTTTTGTCTAAACTGAGACCAAAATTTCTATAAGACATATTTTCACTTTTGATAGCTAAAAGATTGACACATAAATATTCCCATTTTAGGATGGACATTAGAGAAAGTTCTAACATCTAATATTTCATAGAGGCTTGTTCACATCTTGCTTTCTGATTTCCTACAATTGTTTTTGTTTCAGAAAAACACAGGTCGACCACATATAATCCAGAAAACCTTGGCGGGACAATATTCTAAGCAAGTGAAGAATCTCAGTATGTTATAATTAAAATGGCTATTGTATTTTATGTAGTGGGAACTGTAACTAGTGGAACTTGGTAGCCATGCAAGCTGTTGGGAAGTGGAATTGGTCTGAGATTGGGGTGAGCAGTGTGGGTGGGCATTGGAGTGAACTGTGGCTGTCACAAAATGAGGCATGGAGAATCGTTTCTGACGGAAAGACCAAAACTTGAAGCCCAGGAGTAAAGCTGCCTTGGGAACCAGAGAGTGTGGCCAGATTTAGTAGAGTGATTTACAGTGAGGTTCATTCCCTAAATTGTCCTGGCAGTTTGCTGCTCCTTAGCCAACTTGGATGGCCTCCTTCCTCTGCTCTGCTCCTGGGGCGTGTTAAGCAGGCTAATATTGGCAAAAGCTACTTAGGGATTGTTGAGGTATGTGATGTTGTTTCTGTCTATTAATGTCAAAAGTATTTAATAATTTATGCAAAAGCTTATGCCATACATTATTTTTCATTCCAAAATAAATTAAACGTAGTGGAATTCTTTCATATTTTCAGATATTGTCAGGTGGTTGCAGGTCAAATATGTATCCTCTAATGAATCTTGAACAGCTCATTATATTTTCATGATGTTTGGATGAAAAGTACATGTTTGACCTATCTTTGTGACCATGAGAGTGTGAAGTGTTTAATGGTCAGTGTACCTTTTGTTTTTCTTCATTTATCTTGATTTTAAGATGACATATGTTACCAATACCACTAGTCCTTCATATAATGTTTTGAAAACATACTCCCATTGCAGTACAGTCCAGCATAAATTTTAGTGTTCATTTTCTTTTACACAGCTATGGAAGGCAGTGACCAGTGGCCATTGCTGTCTGAATTACAGTGGTTGAAAAGAAGGAAGAGAGCAGTGAATGTGAGTGTGCCCTTGAGCCTTGGGTGGGGCTGTTTCACTCGGTTAAGTTGTGTGCCTGTCATCACACTGTATCTAAGTATACCCAAAAACAGTTTAGATCTGGGGGACTTTTGGTTTAAAACAAAAAAACCCTGTGATTTGACCTCAAACCTCATCAATACCCTGCTTTTTATTCATCTGTCTCTATTAGTGATTCAAACTAAAGAACCCTGATACCATGTAAAGAGTGTATTGTCTTAGCTCTATTTTCAAAATGTTTTCTTATGGAAATTGCAGTGTATTTTTTTTTTTTTCTATTTAAAGTATAGCAGACTTTTTCCCCCCGTATGGCTTATAGAACATCATATGAAATGTTTTTGTTAACAACAACACCACCAAAAAAGTAGGGAGAGGAGTTAGGTTTTGAATTGTTGGCTAATCATGCTTATTTTTATTTCTTTCAATTTAAAAACTCTGTTACACAAAACTTTGAAGCGAGATGTAGTTTTCAGAAGGGAATGAATTTATTTGACCATAGTGATATGACAGTTACTAAATCAAAATCTCATAATTATATAATCAACTACTATGATATACCTCCCATGTATTGATAAATGTATAGGGGCTTTGTAACTGAAATTATGCTTCTAGTCTTTTTCATAATAGATTAAGAAGCTGTAATGATGGGAACTGTTTAATAATTACATGGTGAATGCTATGTAATTAAGAATTAATTCCACAGCTTATAGATTACATAGTAATTTACTAGATAACTTAATGAGTAATTATAGTAGAAACTGCACATTTTAGATAATGTTTTGCTGAATGTATTTTTTTGTGTGTGTGCAAAAATTAGGCTGCCAACCATCAAAAATTTAGGTCCAGGTTAAATCATTCTCCCTTTTATGAGCTTCTTATTATGGTGATTGTGGATACATTTTTGGTGGGTGGATACTTAGAGATCTCTTTTTGCTTACTCTGGAAGATATGCTAGGTAATAATAAGTTTTATATAGGCTGCTGTTCTTTCACTACAGTCACCCCTATCAAATATAAACTGTTCAATGACTATGTATGTGACTAAGAGCCACCATTATTAATTTTCCAACTGTTAAAAATAAGTAAAAGTCCAAATGAGGGCTAAAATACTCTTAAAGGATTATCTAGTAATAATTAAAATTTAGAAGACTTTAGGTTGTAGTAATTGGCAGTGCTGGTTCATTTGAGCTGTGTTGTTAAGAATTGCTACATTATTTTTAGAATTTCACTCCAGTGAGTCAATGTTTCTATTTGACTACACCTGTTTCAGAAATACCGGAAGTAATTATAGTTTATGCTGTTCTTATTTAAATGAGTTTTATGTAGATTTTAATTGAAATTTTTGGTAAATATGAATATTTTTATCACATTTTAATGTGAAAGAAATTGGAATTTATTTATTTTAACAGAATTACGCTGTAAACTGTTCTCTAGAATATTTTTACATACAAAAACAGCATGGTCTGTTCCCTATCTTTATGAGTACTTTAATAATAATTAAAGACAGTTTTTTTAATACTTTCAATGTTTATACACATTTTATGATCACTTTTTTTGATGTCCCTACCAAGTTTCTTCTAATGTGTTTATAAAGTAGGCAGCAAAGAGTTCTGAAATTCAAAGTTTTTCTAAGATTAAGCATTAGAGATCTTCTATGTCAATCTCTGTTCTGACCATATATTTTTATGCTTCACAGCCATCTCGTGGTGTATTTGAAGAAATGAAGTATTTGGAACTTATGATTGTTAATGATCATAAAACGGTAAGAATATAGAGTCAACAGGTTTTAGACCCAATAGGTTACTTAAGAAAGAATACATTTCACTTTACATTTAATCATTATTTGTTATTTATTAAAGCCAATATATTTAGAGAATATAAGTCAGTTGATTTCTTTCTTGGTGTTTGGAGAGACTGGGTTTGATAGAATTTTCACAACTCTAAACTTTCCCTGTGTTTAATAATAATTATAATTAATGGATTTAGCTATTTGGCATCTTTCACTTGTCTTCATTTAAAATTCTTATTCTCTACCTTTCTTCATCTCTGTATTTGGTCACCGCTTTCTAATTTTATTATATGCCTTTGTTCTGCTAATATTTTATTTTTTTCTTACTGATTATTATGATTTGTGGTAGATACAGGAAATAAATATATAACATTTATTTAAAGAGACTATCTTTAACTGATTATCTTCTTTAAGTATTAGAAAAATGAATAATCTTGTGTTACTTCTATGGAAGTAAAATGTGATTGAATATGTCATTTCGGTAACACTTAAAAAGAAATATGAAAAGCAACCATTGCTCCCCATTGGCCTTTCTTGAAGATACAGAAGAAACTCTGTGAACTATACTTAACCATTTTCTTTGTAAAATGTCTTGGCTGAAGCCTGCACGAGTCTTGGTCAGTGTGTTATACGCTAGTACACCCAGTACTAGTGGTGTGCTGGTAAATTTTAACATCTGGCTCTCTTGGTTTATAATTTTTGCTGATATCCATGGTGTAAATATGCCCAACGTAGCTGATTTCAAGCTATCAAAGTGAGATCACTGAATGAGCAGGGAGAGAAAGTGGCCAGTTGGCTCTTTGTGAGCTGGTGGGAGCTGGCGCCAGCAACCTCTACCACACTTCTTGCACGTTTTAGGCCAGATGCCATTTTTATTGTAGTTATGTAATTGAATTTTAAAAACTGCATACAACAAGACAAAGAGTAATTGTTTTTAATGAAAACAAAGTTACATTTCTGGAAAAACTTTACAAAGATGAGAATCTCTTAAAACATACTTAAAAGTCAGGTATGGGTGACAAACTTGTAAAAGATTGGGAAAAAAATTGAGATTGCCTTGCAAGTATCTTTAAAGTCCTTGTTTTACTTTGATGAAACCAAAATTAGATTAGTAGACTATATGATAAGGCTGTGTTTCATGATAAAATGACCATGTGAAATGCTAATCAGAAATCCTACTCAGAGAAGGCCTTGGAACCATACATTTTAAAAAATGGTGACTTAATTTATATTTAAACTTTGGAGTTTCTACCTTAATGGATGTTTTTGAGTAACTATCAGTTCAATTATATTGAACATAAAGTTTTTCAATAGAATACTTCTTACTTTGTATGAAGATTTATTTTCTGTACCAGTACCCTTTAAATGCATTGAGATATATTAGCAAGAAGCAGAATTCATCAGAATTACATATAATTTAGGAGAGATCCTTTCTGGTGGGAAGAAAAACCAAATGTGTAGACAGTCATTTTAGACAACGAAGGCTGAAATACGAGTTTCTGAAGGACATTAATTTGCTTAAAACCCCAATATGATTTTTCATCTGAATTATTTTGGTTGATTAGAAAATGGAAATGTTTCCAAGGTACTTTTCAATCCCGAGCATTGTGGCATGTTGCAAAATTATGGCTTTTGAAGCCTAACCTTTTTCCAACATCCATTATACAAATACTTTTATAGTAATGGAAATAATAATTAAGATATATAGACAACATCTTTAAATGTACAAAGTGCATCCCCAAATGGCTGGTAATTGGTAGAATCAGTCTCAAACCATTACTTGCAATTCTAAATCTCCTGTTTCACCATACTATATCAGGAAGGAGCATGCAGCTGTCAGTCAGAGAGCAGATCTCAGTAACTGCAAAAAAGGAAACTTGATAATTTTTTAAACATCATATATTTTGAATTTATTTTCTAAGCCTTTTAAATAATCTTATGAATAATAAAATAGCACCCTTCTTAAAGTATTATTATTTTATATATGGAAAATTTCTATACATTATACCATATATTTTGTGATAAAGTTACCTTATTCAGGCTATCAAATATTTTAATGGTAGATCTTGATAATTTTATTATTATTTTTAAAATGGATGAGAAGTAGGCATGATAGGTTCATCTGTTTCTGAAACCAGAAGAAAAGAATTGTAATTTGTACTGATAAATTTGGAGAGAATACATGTTAAAAAAAGGAAAAAAATGGAAAGGTTTTTTTTTTTTTTTTTTTTTCCTGAGACAGAATCTCTGTTGCCTGGCCTAGAGTGCCTTGGCGTCAGCCTAGCTCACAGCAACCTCAAACTCCTGGGCTGAAGCAATCCTTCTGCCTCAGCCTCCCAAGTAGCTGGGACTATAGGCATGCGCCACCATGCCCAGCTAATTTTTTCTATATATTTTTAGTTGGCCAATTAATTTCTTTCTATTTTTAGTAGAGATGGGGTCTGACTCTTGCTCAGGCTGGTTTTGAACTCCTGACCTTGAGCAATCCACCCACCTCTGCCTCCCAGAGTGCTAGGATTATAGGTTTGAGCCACCGCGCCTGGCCCTGAAAGCTTTTATTGTTGGGTAGAAATCATGTCTAAAATAGAAAGAAACTATCTAAGAAGATTTCTAGTATTTAAAGAAATATTATTTTCTGGGCTAATAGAACTAAATATATGAGGGCTATCCGGAAAGTATCCAGCCATTGTTAATACAACAAGAGTGTTTACATGGCTGGATACTTTTCGGATAGCCCTCATATTCCTTTTGCTTGAAGACCAGGTCACATTCTAGTCTGTAATATTCCCAAATATGTATATCATTCTATAAGAATTTTTTTTTCTTTTGAGAGTTGAGAAAATTCCTTTTTTGAGGTATGCTTTATATGATATGAAGATAAGTTTTTGAATATGATTGCCCAAAAAATAGTAAATCAGAACTTGGATCAAAGTAAATTGATCCAAACTTAAATTCATGTGTTGAAAGTCAAACTGAACTAGATTAATACATTTATTTTTTAATATTTGGAGATTTGCTGTTGGCTTTGGAATAATTGTCCCACTGAGAGTAATCTTACAATCTTTATACTATTACATATATGATTCACTGTAGTTATTTTGATAACTGTCACCTTCAGGTTGATAATCAAATTCTAATCTTAATTTTTTTCAAAAGGCAAATTTCTTAAGGATTGCATTTGTTCAGAAAGGAAAAGCAAACTTTCCAGTTTAAATGTAAATTCTTTTTAGTGATCGGAAAATGTAAAAGTAAGTTTTATCATAAATGGAGATTGCACATTTTTCTTTATATACAAAATTAGTTCTCATTCATGCAGTAAATGGAAACATTGTGCCTACATTTGCATTCAAGCTTACCCCTTTAATTCAGAGTAGCCTTATTACTGGCTGCCTGAACAAATGCGGATATCTTATTTTGAATAGGCATCACATTATCAGTGGCTTTCAATTAGAAAAGAAAAATCCCTTAATTTGGTGGAAAGCTTTTAGTACCTGGCTGGCAGAACCTAATTTGCAAGCCAATTATATCCTTAATAAGAGTCTGTAAACATTTCTTTGAGCCACATAAGCCGAAAATAAACATTAAAAATCTTATTCTAATAAAAATTGGTTGAGATATTTTAAAGTACATAAAAAACAAATGTTTTACTTACATTTTTGCTACATTAAGTATGAGTCAATAAGAGTAAATATGGGATTATAATTCAGAGTTTTTCAACTTAAACCTCATTTGTTTTTCCTTACTTAAAAACCACCACTTTAAAAATTTTTGATGGACACATAAGTGTACATATTCATGGGGTACATAAAGATGTTGTAATACATAGAATGTATAGTGATCATCAGATCAGGGTAATATCCATCCTCTCAAACAATGATCATTTCTTTATATTGTTAACATTCAATATCTTTCTATTTGAAACTATGCATTATTGTTAACTATAGTCATCCTATAGAACACTAGAACTTATTCCTCCTATCTAGCTGTAATATTGTATCCTTTAACAAATCATTCCTTCTCCCTCCTATTCCTAGTCTCCAGTATCCTCTGTTATACTTTTTACTTCTGCAAAGTCAACTTTTTTTTCTTAGTTCCTACATATGAGTGAGAACATGTGGCGTTTAACTTCCTGTTCATGATTTATTTCACTTAATATAATGTCCTCCATTTCCATCCATGTTGCCACACAAAACAGGATTTCATTCTTTTTTATGGTTGAATAAAATACCATTGTGTATATATACACCACATTTTCTTTATCTCTTCATCTATTATTGTACACCTAGGTAGATTTCATATCTTGGCTATTATGAATAGTGCTGCAGTAAACATGGGGGTGCAGATATCTCTTCATTATATTGATTTCTTTTCCTTTGGATAAATGCCCAGTAATAGGATTGCTGGATCATATGGTAATTCTATCTGTGGCTTTTTGAGGAAACTTACATACTGTTCTTCCATAGTGTGTGTACTAGTTTACATTCCTACCCATAGCATATAAAAGTTCCCTTTTCTCTGTATCCTCCCAGGCACTTGTTATTTTTTGTGTTTTTGATAATAGCCATCCTAAGTGGGGCAAGATGATACCTCATTAATAAAAACCTGACAAATTATATATACCTGAAAAATTATGAGTTCTCATCAATAATCATGATTTGTTAGGAATATACATAAACTATTTAATAAGAATTGTTAACTGAACAAATTTACCTCCTCTCTCAACCCAGAGTAGGCTTTGAATCCCAGCTGTGTAATCTTGGATAAGTTATTTGGAGATAATAAAATCCACATCATAGAGTTGTGAGGAGGAAATACTTGTTGTAGGAGAGACATTTATCTTAGTTCCTAATATATCCTAGGTGCTCAGTGAAATGGCACTTCAAGTTAACAAATCTAGTGGTCACTGTTCTGTCCTTATCTTACTCTTTTAACCACATTGGACACAGTTGATTACTCTCTTTTTAAAATATTTTCTTTATCTCTCAGCTTCTGTGACATAGTAGCTCTTTAACCTCACTGGCCATTTTTCATGTAAGTTTTTTTTACATCTGACCTCTAGAATTATGGGAGTGCCCTGTGGCGTGGGTCAGGGCTCTCTTTTCTTTCTATGCTCTCTCCCTTAGCGACAGCTTCCAGTCTCAAGTCTTTAAATAGTATCTTGACTGTAAACTCATTACTCCCTGCTTTGTAGCTCTAGCCTTCTGAGTTCCCTACTCATATATCCAGCTATCTACTTGACATCTCTACTTCATAGGCATCTCACATTTGACATTTCTAAATCAGAACTCTTAGTTCTAAACTTCTCTTCCCCTAGTATTTCTCATTATTTTAAATGGCATCGCCATCCCTCATCTATTCAGGGTCAAAACCAAGGAGTCATCTTTTGTTCTTCTCTTTCCTCACCTTCCACATCTTCTACATCAGCAAGTCTTAGAGCTCTACCTTTGTATTTCTTGAATCCACCCATTTCTCTCTGCAGTTATCCAGTCTCCATTACCTCTTACCTGGACTTTTGCGATAGTTTCCCAATAAACATCTCTGCTTCCATTCTTGACTCTCTCTAATTCACTCACCACATAGCAGGCAGATCATCCTTCTACAAAGAAAGTCAGAGGCTCGCAAATAACAAATAAGAAATAAATAAAGCACATCACATTTGATAGATTTTATTTTTTTTAAACTTGCATGTCATGTTTTTTGTGATCATTATACTATAAAAAGAAGTCTCCAAAAAGGAAAAATTAATATTCAGAAGCAAAATAAAATTTATGTTAATAGGTGTGTAGCACCACTGCATTAGAGTAGGTGTCAGCTAATATTTTCCTTTTTTTTTTTTTTTTTTTGAGACAGAGTCTCACTTTGTTGCCCAGGCTAGAGTGAGTGCCATGGCATCAGCGTGGCTCACAGCAACCTCAATCTCCGGGGCTCAGCGATCCTACTGCCTCAGCCTCCCGAGTAGCTGGGACTACAGGCATGCGCCACCATGCCCAGCTAATTTTTTGTATATATATTTTTAGCTGGTCAATTAATTTATTTCTATTTTTGGTAGAGACGGGGTCTCGTTCAGGCTGGTTTCCAACTCCTGACCTTGAGCAATCCGCCCGCCTCGGCATCCCAAAGTGCTAGGATTACAGGCATGAGCCACCACGCCCGACCTTCCTTTCTTTTTAAGTCTACAATTTAGTGGTTTTTAGTACCATCATATTGTTGTACAGCTATTACTTCTATCTAATTCCGTAACATTTTCATCACCCAAAAGGAGCTTAATGTTAAGGCTTTTGCTTTTACTCTTGAAGATATCTTCAAAAGTTTTGAGCTTGTGGAATTTTGCTAGGCAACTTAAAATGCTGAACTATTTGTAGAAACTTCTTTATGCTAAGGTTATACAATCTGTTAAAATGCGTGAAAAATTTTAGATTAATGCAATGGTTTATGGCCCAGTTATATGCATATATTAGTTTACTTTAAAAGGACACATAAAGATGGTTTGGGTCAGATTATGATGCACAGTGGTCACAATAACATGAACAGTAACAGTAATGCTATACCAATAGTTATAAATTAATGAATGCTACTAACAGAGCACAATATTATCAATTTATTGACTGTTATCATGGGTCATCAGTGTTCTCAGTGTTATAAAAAATAAACATCAGATATGTAAGCATTGAGACATACATTCTGTGTTTAAAAAACATAGTCATGGAGTAGAGAGAGAAGGAAATGAAGAGGGTCTGACTCATTTACAGGGTAAAAGTGGGCAGAGGAGAAAAAAAGAATATTATGATTTTCCAATGTGGAATATTTTTAATCTTCATGAAATTATTTTAATAATTATAATTGAAGACACATTCCAAAGACTTGTGGTGCAAGTCAGTAGTTTTAAGTATGTTTTTCTTTTTGCTCAGAGTTGTAAAGACAATGATAGCCTTGTCGCATGATCTTCCTGTGGTAGACTTCAGCTTTTAGGTATCCTCTCAAAGACATAATTGAGCATAGTATTCTACTCCTTGCCAAAAACATAGCCCTCCAGATGTTGTTATAGAAGTATCCTATTAATTTACTTTTCTTTATACTCTTAAATAATCATAAGCAACCAAAAACTACCAGCACACTTCATATTTACTTTTTGTATCCTCTTTGTGCTGACTTTAAGCAATTGAAAGCAAAAGGCTTCGCTTGGAGGAGGCATTCCTCCCAAGGGATATACTAAATGCATGACAAATACTTTGCATTTTATGGATAATATCTAAAGTGCTTGCCTAAGAAATTTTCTTGATGGCCTTGAGTTTAACACAAGGAAAGTGTCTAGTTGGGACTACATTTTTTTGGCCTAAGCTGCAAAATGTCATTTCAGTGAAAACAAAAGACATTAAGACTAAATTAAAAACTTACTTCTCAAGTGTGCAGCTTCTCACATAGATTTCAGTAAGCCCTTTCCATTACCCAGAACATTGTGGATGTTTTAGAGTCTGAATTTTGCTGCCTAACAAAGAAATAAGATAAGAATACCACCATTTCCAATATGGCACAAACTAAATTCTACTAAATTTTGTATTTTTAATCTTCATATCTACTATTGCTGTGAGACTTCTGCTTTTACAGAATTTTGAAATTTACCATTAAATTATGATTTGGCAGTGACCGGTATATTTTTTTATCCCCCTAGTATAAGAAGCATCGCTCTTCTCATGCACATACCAACAACTTTGCAAAGTCTGTGGTCAACCTTGTGGATTCTGTAAGTATCCTGGTTTTCTTGAACCTATTTTTACCAAGATGGAATGGTTTATATCTCTATCTCTATTTGCTTACTTGTTACTTTAATTATATCTTGGGCAGAAGTAAAAATGTGATCTTTAAGCTCATCTGCTTCACAAATAGTAGTGCTCTCAGAGTTTTAGAGGACTGTTGACTTATCTTCAGAATCCCAAAGATGCATTAATGGTGCTTCTAAGTGATGCCTAGACCTTGTCATCACCAGGGTCTAGGGAGGACAAAAACAATGGAAAACATTAGCTACCAAAAAGAGTAGACATTATACTTGGCAAATGGGACTTTGTTAACAACTAGTTGATCTTTTTAAAAGTGTATGGTTTTAGCAGACAAAAACTAATAGATTGAGGCAGAGTATGTTTGAAGAATATAAATAATACAACAAAATTGTTTAAAGGACACAAATTTATATCCTTAGTTTTCCCATTAGTGGAATGTTTCAGACTTATTTCTAAATGAAAAAACTAAGTATATATAAGTCAGTCCCAAATTAAAACTCATTTGAAACAGTAAAATACATATCTGCTTACAAAGACTTCTAAATCTACAAATCTTTAATATCAATATGGTCCCCCTGTATTTTGTAAGTTGCAGAGAATGATGGTTAAGATTTTCATCCTTTTTCATGCCTGAGGTAGAAGCTCCATAGATATGAATATTATGAATAAGTTGCAATAAATAATACAATTTGACTAGTCATAAATTAAATATAGCGTACTACTTTATATATTCTAGTGTAAAGTGGTGTTTTGTTCAGCTAAATATAGTTTTATGTGGTATTCATTATATAGTCTATCTTAACTGGGGAAAAAAAAACTTTCTATAAATTGCCAAACATCTAAATGATATTTATTTACTCCAAAGGGATGCCTTCTTTTCTGCCTTTTAAATAGTCCAAAAACAAGTGATCATGTAAATACTCATAATATAGCTTATGTGCCTGGTAGGCCTAGCTTAGCAAAAGGATAATGTAAGTAGATATGTATAGATTTTATCATATAGAATTAGGATCGAACCTCTGAGAGCCAGTTTTCATGCCTGGTTGATTAATTTTCTTTAATTTCAGCTCTTATTAATTTTCTCAGAGGAAAATTTATAAGTGACTATGGAAAAGAAAGTCTTCAACACATCTGTCCCCTGCGAAAACTGTTTTCTTGGTAGCATCTCTGTATTAGTCATTTCAGCATGTTTAAATAGAATCACATCTTGCAAAGTGTAAATGTTATTTTGGGTTACCATATAAGGTTCTGAAGCTGACCAGTGATTTTAAAAGACATTGCACTTAACTTGGTTTTGTTGTGAAGTAATTGATTTGGGCATAATGATGTCCTCCTTCTTCAGTGTGTTTGAAAATTATCCATTGTTTTCTTAAGTAGTTTGAAAATAGGGCCAAATGACAGCATTCATTGAAGTTGCTTAAATGTGTGAATTATTTAGCTACTGGGCTGAAACTAGAGAAAGACCACAGAAAGGTAATTATTTAAATATTGTAAGCTATGCCACCCTGTGGTGAGGATGGGCTGGGCGAATATAAATCTGCTCTTTTTTGGCCTCGGATCCATAATTCTCTCTCTCTCCCTCTCAGTGTTATTTTACTTTCCATATATCATAGCATTACTTAACCTCCGAGAGCAAGTCAGCCAGATTGTTTGGTGCTTGTCTGAGATTTAGTGACCTGTTCCAATGCTGCAGGAGTAAGTGGTTACTTACTCAGAGCCAGTATAGCAGGCTCCAACCTGTTACCCTCTGTGAGGTCTGGAAGAGTGATTTTACTGAACCCCGTTTTCAATTTATGTCCTGACTGTAGAATCTTAACATTCCTACTATCTATCCCTTAGTGAGATGCCAGGTCACTAAATGTGTTGATCTGGGATTGAAATAACCTTATAGGAGAGTTGGTGACATGAGACAGAATTGTGATTGTTCTTTCTTTCTTTCTTTCTGCTCTTGGAAAAGAGAAAGGAAGAGAAGATTCTCTGTGATGAGCTAACTATGACCCATGTTCTCCTCTCACCTTCCCCTTTCTGTCCTTCCACTGACTCTGACTCACTGATCATGCATGTTTGACCCAGTGTTTTCCTCCTGCACCTGTCCTGTTGTGTACCCTCAGATTTACAAGGAGCAGCTCAACACCAGGGTTGTCCTGGTGGCTGTTGAGACCTGGACTGAGAAGGATCATATTGACATCACCACCAATCCTGTGCAGATGCTCCACGAATTCTCCAAATACCGGCAGCGTATCAAGCAGCACGCTGATGCTGTGCACCTCATCTCGTATGTACCTGTCTAAGCTTTTATTGTAGTCTTCGCTTCGACATTAAATTTATCCCTTTATTGTGTCAAGCTAAGTTAAATATCAGAAAATAGGGACTTGAACAAGATTGCTATGGATTGCCCTCTCTGTTACATAAGAAGCATGGAGATAGGATGTCCAGTGCTAGGATGCTGGTGATTCTCTAGCTGTCAGATCTACCTTTAGAACATATAACTTCCATCCTCAAGGACAACTCATGCTCCAAGAAGGCCACTAGTGCTCCAGCCTTCATGACAGGCAACAGGAATGATAGGCAGGGAGAAGGGCAAAAGGGCAGTCCTTTTAGCCAAGTCAATTCCTGTAAAGCAGATTTCCTGAAAGCTTGTACACATCAATTTCACAACATGTCATTAGTAGATCATAGTCACATGGCCATACCTAGCTGCAGGAGAAGCTAAGAAATGTAGTGTTTTTAGATGAACCATTGAATAAAATTGAATTTCTATCACTAAGGAAGAAGGGTTCCATACTTTCTTTTTAATGTAATAAGCTGCTCTTTACCCACTCATGGGAAAACTCTTTTCAGACCATCTTCTAAGGTTCTGTCCTGGAATCAAACCAACAAGTACCCCTTCCTTCCCTTCCACCTTTAACCTTTACTTTCTTTTCTTTCAGTCTTTAATCAGCAATTTATAATAATCAACAATGTTTTGTGTAACTACTGGATATTCTCTACTAGAAAAAAAGTCAAGGACTGTGGTCTGTTTATTTTTGTGTTTTCAATTCTTATGTCAGTACATGATGCTTACTAGGTACTCAGTTAATGCTTGCTCAATTAGAATTATTTAAGATAACAAATTTAAAGGTAATTATGACAACATAAATTTAAAGTTATTTAAAATACAGTTTTTGATCTTTTGGAGGAAGATGGTTCTGGAGTGTTCAGTGTAGGAGAGTAGACATGTTTTAGGAGAGTTTATTTGATGGTCACTACATTGGTTTTCTAATAGCACTTCTTTTTCTGAAGGCGGGTGACATTCCACTATAAGAGAAGCAGCCTGAGTTACTTCGGAGGTGTCTGTTCTCGCACAAGAGGAGTTGGTGTGAATGAGGTAAATTTTATCATTTTCTTAAAGTAAAGCTTTATCTTGGCATCTGTTCTCTTTCTTCCCCATGGACCAGTTTACATTTCTTCTCATGCGTGTTTAGAATGATGACATCGATTATGTAGCATGAGTGGCTTATATTATTAATAAATAGAACCCAAAATGGTCCTTTGGATTCATAATGCTATCTTTGGTTATTAGAATTATAGTTTTTCCTATTTATCAGGCAAATGCAAGCTGAAGATTGGCCCAGAGATTTTTAGGCTCTGTAGATAAGATGTTAAGTTTTTATAAGCTTATTAATCTTTCCCTTATAACATTTTTTTTAGTTATAATGCTCTTCTGCTTATGTTAGATTTAACTCATTTAAATAAAGGGCGTATGATATCAGTACTATATCTTCTCTTTTTCTCCCTCTGTATGTTTTTTTCATCTTCATGCCTTCTATCTACCTATCTGTAGAGTGAATTTGAACAAATATTTCCGTAATCTCATTGTTTAAGTTTTAATACCTTCATTTTTATAAAGGAAATTATTAGGTGGCAACAGCACCCCAACAGCCTAATGAGTTATATCTAAACTCTAGTCAATCCCGGAATATGTTATACTAGTTTATCCCAATACCCGTCATTTAGTGGGGACCTCACTTGACATATTTGTAGTAAGTTGAATTTATTCTTGGCTTGATGTGAGTTAAGTTGAAGCACAGCCTTTTGTGACTTGTATTTTATGTTTCCATGTGAGAGCTTCAAGTTCTGAGAGATGCCACATAGTAAGAGGGGCTTTCTGCTTCTTGGGCCCAGTTGCAAGGAGGAAGTGATGAGGAGTATATTCCATCTTTAGATGCTGTGAGGCTCTACTTAGCGAACTGAGATGATATGTGGTAACAATTAAGAAATAATAACTAGCTTTGTGCACTCTCTCAAATGTTTCCCACACACTTTCAACTCTGAAAAACAGTATGGTCTTCCAATGGCAGTGGCACAAGTATTATCGCAGAGCCTGGCTCAAAACCTTGGAATCCAATGGGAACCTTCTAGCAGAAAGCCAAGTATGTACATTGACCTTCTTTCTCACTTTCATGTGCCATTCTGTCTGTGTAATGCATGTCCGGTCAATAAATAAATATTTTTCATTCAAATCATTATAGTTTAATTGTAGTATATCTTCTTCCTTTAAAAAACTTTACAAAATGAGGAACTTAAGATAATTCTTAATCTCTTTGGGTTGTAGAAATTTTCCCTTTCAAAATCCATAAAATCATACCCAGTTTCTCAGGGCGTGAGTCACCTCTTTCTCACACTGCGGGATGTTGGGATTGGGGGTGGGAATAGTCACCCTCTGGGTTCTGACAGTTGAGTATAGACACAAGATGCTAGATGAGGCTCCATCACAAGGTTAGTAATACTATAGTTGCCTTGGGAAATAGCTTCGATATAGAGCCAAAATGGAGTCCATATTTGAGTTCTAATTGAACATACCCCTCAGTCCCATGAGAAGAGTTGGAGAAGAAGGCTCCCCTACAGGAAGTCCCTCCCCCAGGGCCTTTTAAGCTTGGGGACAAGTGGTGGAGGATAAGATTCTCCTCTAGTGGGCAGGCAGGCCCTAGAGGGAGTACAAACAGGGCCACAGATTCTGTCCAGTAAAAAACATGGCCAAAGACTGTTATTTTTCGCTTTTTTCACTAATCAGATGAGAGGAAGATGGAAAAACAGGGCTGATTTATCTAGTGGGCAAAGTGTCTAGGGCCCACCGTAATTTTAGGGGTCCATGAAAAATGCTTTTAAAATCAGGCTAAAATCAAACCTGGATTACATTCCTCTTTATACCAACATAGTAATAAAATATACATTTTCAGTAAATTTTTATAGTTGAGTGCCTAAGGCCCAGAAATATGTGATCACTCAAGAGAGAGACCAGTGTGTTCACTCATATTATTCACTTAACTAGAAATTAAGTGGGAGTCCCCTTCCTTCTATGTGAGGCACTAGGAAGGTCTCTCTTTCTACCCCAACCTCGCTAAAGAAGAAAAGGACAAAGTTTACCTTAATATCCTAAATTTTATACTTTTTTGTCACTATTGTATAATATTATGGAAAATTGAAACAAAATGTATATCCACAGGCTTCTTCATTTCCTTGGTGGATATATTAAGTCATTGAGTAACATAGTCATCACAGGTGTCTGGTGGCATTTTGAAAATCCCCACAAACTTTCATTTATTATCTTGCTCAATTATTTACTTTCCCAAGGAAACACCTTGTACACACTAAAAGAGGTGTTTAGAGTTTCTGGTGTTTAGAGGTGTTTAGAGTTACAGCTGGCATAGAGTCTGACTAGGTTTATGCACTTGTTTGGGCATCCTGGAACCTATAGGAGACCAGAGATCCAGTCGGGTGAGAAATGTTATGAGTTGGATGGTGGAGTAGGGTGAAAAATAGAATTTATGCCTAATGCCTGATATAGTTCCTTCCCTCCTAAACTTCTTTATTCCTTTGTGAAGTGTTTGTTTAGGTAGCTATTACCTGGGTATTAAAGTTCGTTTTAAAAATCCATTTGAAAGTCTTTCTTTAAAAATGTTTTTATTTATGATAGAAAAGAGAATAGGAAAAAACTAATGAAGAGAAGAGCTCATCTCAGTATCAGTATGTGAGTCTCTGGTATCTAAGTTAAGTTTATGATTGCTATTTGAGTGATTACACTTCTGTTTCAGATTGCTCTTTTTACTAAACATTGTAGCATAGTGATCTTCAAGTCTCTGGCTGATTCTCACTTCTGTTCTGGGAAATTGAATTCTCTCCTTTAACTCATAGCGTGCTCTGTTAGAGAACTTCAATGATGATTCGTTGTGTTTGTGTCAGAGAACTGTACAGCTCACAGAGAGCACAGGGGCACACCATCTCCTGTGAACCCCAGAGCCATCTGGGAGATAGGAAGAGAGATGCAGTTCCATTTTAGAAGGGGAAACCTGAGTCCCAAGAGATGCTAAGTCACTAGCCTGTGTGACTCTGTCACTAGCCTGTGTGACTGTCTTTTATGGTAGAACTTGGACTCATCTCAGGCTTTCCAGATTCTAGACCAGGGTGCTTCTCACTACACATAGGAACTGAGAACCTACTTGAGTTGTAGGAGTTACAAAAATGAAGAGAGGCACAATTTTATTTCTTGCCAGCTGTTTTTTTAGCAAGTGACCTGTACTTCTGGAAAGGATAAGGAAATACTGATTTAAAAGAAATAAATTTTGTTGTATGGAACTTCACGATCCGTGTCTGTTTGACATGGAATTGGTAATAAAGAATGATTATAGGAGCTGTAATGCAGATTAAAAATGTGACTTTTGTCGTTTCCTTTTTCTGTTGCTTTTATTGTTTCATTGGACTAGAATGTGACTGCACAGAATCCTGGGGTGGCTGCATCATGGAGGAAACAGGGTAAATTTTCATCCTACATGGACTTGATATATGCTTTTTGCTAAAATTGCTGTATGTAATTAGAGACCATGGTCTAGTAGGTACCAGTCTTTTAAGCTAATTACAGTATAAATTCAGTAATTAATTGTCTGATATTTTAAAACTGAAAAGGCTAATTTACTTCATATTTTAATTTTTTATTTAAAGGTTGGTGATAAAAGTAAAAGGTATTAACTACTTCTACTTCTTATTAACCCTTAATGGGAGCACAGTGTTAGATGTGTCTTAAGTTTAGTAGAGGCATTAATTTTTTAGTATACTTAGAATAAAAGCTGGTTGTCTACCTGAAGCAGTCAGTGAAAATCAATTTAGTCATCAATTTACATTTTAAGGAACTCATAAATATCTGTGTTTATGGTAATAAAAATTTTACTATACTGATTATATAATCAATAAAGCTTTTTTAAAAAATTAAGACAGATTTATTGTGTCTAAATTAGGTAGTCTTTTAGAGGTAGACATTTGAACATTCCATCACCTATCTTTTCTTTTTTGTGTGTGTATACTTTGGGAACTGGAACAGCTGCCCCATAGCTGCCATTACCTCAGTGAACCAGGTCTACAAACATTGCCCTCTTTCCCAGGGACCCCTGCCCCATGGAAGCCACTGCCCTCAGGCCCCCTAAGCTGTTGCCCACTTCTTCTAGTAAGAGAGGTTTCCTCGCCCCATGTCTCTCCTGCTTCCTTTGCCCATGCCAAGTACCTGCCCAACACACCAGCCATTTCTGGTCCTACTCCGATCCCTCTGAGCCCTGGTTGCTAGAGACCCCAAGCTACTGGTACAGAACCCCTCCTTATTCTTCCACGACACCCTCCCAGCAGTTCAGCTCCTGGGGAGAAGAGGACGGTGAGCATGAGGGTTTGCACAGTCAGCCATTATTCCTGCTACTTTGGAACACAGTTCTAAAATGTAGCTTAAACTCAAAACTCTTAGCTTCCATGGTCCCCTTGCTATTGTTCCATAGTTTAGTAATGTATGGCTGAACCAGGCTCTTTTGAGGACCGCTGTAGGAAGGTAACACCGTTTCTAACATTGGTTCTATAGGAAGATGTCGTCTTCCAAATTCTCCCAATTTCTAAATGAGCTCTTGGACTGACTATCCATAGGCTATAATAAAACTATTTAAAATTAATATACGTTCTCTTAAGTATATATTTATATATAGTTCTTGTAGGAGGGCACTATCAACAGTGATGGGCTTTATCTACTTCCATAAACTACCCTCATACATCAGAATACATAAAACTATTGGATTGCACTCTAGAAAAAGTGGCCTGTCACTCTCAAATCACGCGCTCTTACAAATATTACCAAGGAATAAGTGTGTGTGTGTGATTCAGCTTCACCTTGACCGTGTATATAACATTTTCCTGTGCACTGACATACCGCTATTAATTTGATTAAGTACATCACAGGGAGGCTCATTTTATATTCCTGCTAAATCATGAATATTCCCAAATAGTATTTGAAATTGAGAATAAAGAGCTATTATTCATGGGAGCTTAGCCTAATCCTGTTTTCACTTTTGCGTATACACACTAAAAAGTTATATCCATATACATGTATGATCTAACACATCTCTTTAGGGTTTCCTTGTTTGCTGTCATTGTATTGTCAAAGCCTGCATTATATAGCTTTAAATAAATTGGTCCTCACAACTCTCTCCTCCAGTGTAAAATCTAGTAAGTTCATGAGCTGTTTTTATTCAGGACAGAGATAAAAAGTTTCTTTCCTTTACTGAGACATAGCAAATAAATATCACAATACTTTAAATATACTTTAAACACTTTAAAATACAGCCTAGAAGAAGAGATTTTATAATGAGCTTTTCAAAAACTGTTTCAAGCTAGGTCACAAAAGGGCTTGAGTACTGAGGAGGTTTTAACCTATCCCCCAAATCTGTGATTTTCTTTGATTTTCTGTCTTTGCAAACTCTGCCACACATAATTACTTGGCAATTTGAACATAAATGCCTTGTCAAAATTTGTGTAGATTCATCTGGATCCAGAGTGAGCATTTTGTTCTACTACAATGGTTTTAATTTTCTTCTCTGATGACTGCTTTTGGTAAATTATTTACATAATTGATTCTTTGTTTCCTCAGGGTATCCCATTCCCGAAAATTCTCCAAGTGCAGCATTTTGGAGTATAGAGACTTTTTACAAAGAGGGGGTGGAGCCTGCCTTTTCAACAGGCCAACAAAGGTTAGTAACTTAGAAAGTGTAATTATGTCTACAGTGTTTTATAGTGGAACAGTGCTGAATATCAGATACTTGTTTTGGGAAGAAGGTTTCTTGCCAATCAGATTAATATTTAGTTACAAAACGCCCTATCATGTTGAAGGTTAGACCTGTTTAAATGAATGACAAAACCATAGATTTGATGTTCTGAGTCTCTGGTTTTTCAGTGCTAGCTACATCCATCCAAGCCTCCCCTACAAAAAGCAAACAATCCTATTAAAATATCTTTGAAATTTTCATGTTAGTTTTTATACCCTGCTGCTAAGAAATAGTGGGGTAGATTAAGATAAAATACAACTTTACTCATTTTTCTGATAAAAATCCCATTTCCTCTTGATATTCTTTCTAGGGGCCTAACTAATTTCTTGACTTTTTTTGTTTTTTTTGAGTGGTCTGTTCTCCTGGGAAGGTAGCATTGCTAATATCAGCCAGCCAAAAAATGGCCCAAGGTATTTATGGATACCATAAATACTTGTACGTATTTATATTACATAGTGTCTATACCTGGGAAGGTTCGTGTTGTCAAGTGGCATTTCATCAAAATTTGTATGTAAAGTGTAGCAGTCCGTTAATCTACAAATCCTTAATTCAAAAAACTCTGAAAATTTCCATAAGTGTTTTTTATGCATTTGCAGAAAACATTCAACAGTAAAGCTTTTCCTAAACTGAAAATCTTTATTTATACCTCATAGTATAAATATTCATAAGTCTCACTGCAGAAATATTAATATATTTGATTATAAGGTATAGTCAGGCCCCTTGGGACTATTATGTAGAGCATGATAAATACATCATAATTTCCAAAATTCGGGAAACCCAGAATTCCTGAACTCAACTGGCTATAAAACTTCTGGATAAGGGACTTCAGACCTAAAGTAGCATGTCTGGAAATGAAGTTGCCTAACTGGCCAAAAAAGGCAGGATTGATGCTAATTAGCAGATGGTATAGAAATTGTAATATGGCAAACTTTATATTTCCTTTTAAAATACTACTTCATAAGTCAAATGTAGTTCATTGCTGTACAAAATGTTTGATACTCTGCAAATTGAGATAGCAGTGATATCATGTTAACCTTTTTAAAAAAGATCAGTGACTAATGTGGATAACTGACAGAATAATTTATTTCTATACCCATAATTAAGTGATACTGCTGCAGTCAGGAGATGGTAGTTTGATGTCTGACATCTGTGTAAAAATCTCAGTTAGGCTGTGGAAAAAGAAATAGGACTTTTAAGTGACCTTGTATCATTAAAGTCGGCTGCCTGCCTTTCATGGCATTGATCTCATTGCAGGAGAAATCTGAAAGCTTCAAAATGTTTTAAACAGGTGAAATAAGTATTAATAATAATGAACTAATGTGAGCTGCTAGCATTTTTGAATTGCAGTATGCGTGGCTAATTTTACCTAGCTTGCAGCCTACCAGGTAATTATAAGCATCATGCCTGAGAAAACAATTCTAACTTGTTTGGAAAGGTTAAGGCTTCTAGCATATGCATAAGGATTCATCAGTGGATTTCTGAAATTGCCCGTCAGTCAGAAGAAAATTATTCTAAATAACTTGGAAACGAGATAGAAATAATTATACATCTTCATTTTGAAAAGTTAGTAAATATGGAATTATTTCTTCTTTTTTCAACTACCTATCACAATGATTAAAAAAACCATACAGATTCCAGTGAGTAGTTCATATGCATATTTCAAAGAATGGACTTTTTCCCCAAGTGTTTTTAGTCAGTGAATGTATGTGTATGCACGGTTCATGTGTCATTTTTACATTATCTGTGTGCATATTTTCTGTGCTTTGGGAATCTTCCCCACTGCCATGTTTGTTTTCCATCTGGTTTGAGGTAGTGACCCATCTGAGGACAGAGGAGGAGTCTTTAGAATGGAAGAATTGGACGCCTGGTCTAAAGTGCTGGTTGCGTTCTGGTTGGCCCTTCCCTTTCCCATTTTCTCCTGCCTGCCAATCCAAGTATCACAGAGGTCAGGAGTGTTGATGTCACTCATTGGACTTTACCATAGGGGAGTCCCACCTGGGTAGCCTGGAAACCTGCCTTTCTTCTTATAATAGTTTTGCCTTCCTGGAAGTGGAAGGAGGATCAGGTCTTTCTCAGGGGAATTAGCAGAAGGTGACCTTCCCTTGGTGTGTGTTTAGCTGCTGCAGATGGAGGCTTTCCCCCTCTCATATTCAGACTCTGAGCATTTGGGTTGGGCTGTGCTGCTCCAGTCTTCATTCAGGTAGGTGATCATGCCCAGAGAAGCCCTGCCTCCCAGCTGATGGGAAATAGGCATGTTTCTCATGAACAGCCAACTACCTTAACAGTTGGGTACATCTGGCAAGCAAGTTCATGGCACCAGTAGAATGGGTTATCCTAGAAACTTGACTTTCCACTGGTCTAGGAATGATTGAGAGATTTTTATACATCCATTCATGTGTCTCAACATTCTCTAGACAATGAAGATTTCTTTTCAATGACAATGATGGGCTTGGATTTCTAGCAACGTTTTTTCCTACATTTATTTGCATTTACTTGGTTGTGTATATCACATTTGCCTGTCACTGAAGCATATTTCTCTTTTTGATAATTTTTATGGCTTCTTAGTTGCCTTGAGAGAAGTCAGCAAATTGGGTATTTGTAGGTCTTATTAGCAATGCATCTTAGCTCCATTAGCAAATATGAAAAATGATCTATTTCTCTAGACAGATTATCTCCATAAAAAGTAACTCCCATGCTAGAGGGTGTCTCTGGAGCCCACCACCAGAGAATCTTACCAAGAGATATACCCTATTTCAAATTTTTTTTTAAGTGTTATTAAGTGAACAGTGTTTTCTCCACAGACATCATTAATAAGATGCCGTAACAACAGATCACAGAAGAATATCGCATGATAGCTGATCATAGGGCCATGTATGTGGCCTGGATAGTGTGGTGATTATCTGTGACAAATTGAAATGTTTTTCCTTTCTCTCCCTAATCTCTTTCAGCTCTTTGAGCCCACAGAATGTGGCAATGGATATGTAGAAGCTGGAGAGGAGTGTGATTGTGGCTTCCATGTGGTAGGTATAAGAGACTTTCTCTACCTGCAGCACGTGATCTTACCTAGAGCAGACAAGTATAGCATTAGTGAGAGGCCCCTGCTATCGTTCACTGTGGTCTTACTGCCTTGCTTTCTGATCTCACTGATCAATGCTTAATTCTAGCTCAGACTTGTTAGAATTAGTCATGCCCTTATGGCCTTGTCTGAGAAAACCTAATGGATTTTCTAATCAGATTCCCTACCTCTTAAAAATTTATAGTTCATATTCATCTCAGACAAGTTTTACCAAATCATGAAACCTTCTTTCCATATATTTTGTATTATTTTTGTGTTTATAAAACTAGATTGGGTATTAAGAGTATAGGAGAGCTCATCAGGGGTAGGTTGTCTGCTAAAAAATAAGCTTTCTTTTTGCTTATTTGCCTTTCATAGAAGATCATACTTTGCTGAGAAATATGGCAGGAAGGAATCTATCATTGGTTAAAGTGATTAATTCCCCCAATATTTGCTTACTATTGTATAAATCCACCCGTTTGGATTATGCATGTCACGTGTGGAAAGAATATTGAATGATTACCAGGTAAGGTTCTTTGCTTACTCACATGAAGTATTTTCTCTAGGAGTGTTACGGACTGTGCTGTAAGAAATGCTCTCTCTCCAATGGGGCTCACTGCAGCGACGGGCCCTGCTGTAACAACACCTCATGTCTTGTGAGTTCCCTGACAGTTCTGTCTTTCTTTTCATTGAGAGATTAGCCAAATATCTCAGTGTGTACATTGAGCATTTTTATGGCTTTTCACAAAAATTGTTGGTTACAATGTGCATATTAGCCTAGCAGGTTTGTAGAATCAATAAATCTATGCAAATCCTGTGGGTCACAACATTTATCTTTACTATTATCCACTATCAACTCCCTTATCCTCCAATGCTTCATTAAGAAAATATACCTATACTGCTGCCAAAGTAAATGTTGAGGGTTGCCCTACTTACTAACAGATGAAAACCAAATTAAATTGTTGAATAAAAGAGGGACAATTCCTGTGGTCTTTTAAATTATATGACCTACTTATAACATTTTTCTTCAAAACTTACTCTAATTTATTTTAGACCCTTAACATAAAAGCTAGTGCTCATGTTTTCCCATTGAGCTTTTAAAATACCCTATGAAGTCAGGAAAGCTGGATAGGGAAGTAATATATGTATGTATGTTTATACATGTATATACACAGTTTGTGTGTGTGTACACATAGAACCTTTTATCTACAGAGACCTGTAGTTATTTTTGAAAAGTCATTTTTAATCTTCCTTTTTCTGATATATATAACCTCTAATATTCCTTATATCCATAAAATTATATAATTTTATTAATTTTTAAATACCAAGGGGTATATACATTATGGTATTCTGGAATATTCTAGCTTAGTTTCTACTTGCTTCATGTCCCCAGACAGATTATAAATTGCTTGAGGGTAGTGGGCTCTTTCCTTCATCTTTTACTCACTCCTTCCCCAGACAAACAAAATGTCTTGTATACAATAGGCATTCACTGGCATTACTGAAGGTTATTCATATGAATTCAATGAAATTTGATTCTGTTTATTTAGCTAAGGCAAGATTAATATCCAAGCTAATATAAGATAAATTAGTGAAGGCTGGATACATATAAATCAGTTCTTCAGAGAAATCTTAAATGTTTATGTTACAGTGTTCTGCAGTTTTTGTCTTATGCCAAATCAGAATTTCTTCTTTACATAATTTCTATGATATTGTTTTCCTGAAATAATGCTCTTGAGATAGTGGATTTTGAAACCTGAGCGTTTGATGCCTGGTTGATGATTCATCTTCACAGGGTACAGAGGGTAGCGTCTGAGTCTTGTTTCTATTCTACAGCTGTCTTGCTAATTCACAAAAAGGGTTTGATGATGGTTAGGAGAGAATATAAAGATTGAGGGTGAATATAAGAATGCTAACTCTTAAATATCAGTTAATACTAACTCCTGATATTGAATTTATCTGCAGTTTCAACCACGAGGGTATGAGTGTCGGGATGCTGTGAACGGGTGTGATATTACTGAATATTGTACTGGAGACTCTGGCCAGGTACGGCAAGCTGTGTTTTAGCTAATACATTTTTCTTGTAAACACAGGTTGAGTGCCCCTTATCTGACATGCACCACGAGTGCAAGTTTAAACATGAAATTTATTTATGTGTCATATATACCTTATACACATAGCCTGAAGATAATTTTATACAATATTTATAATAACTTCTTACACAAAGCAAAGTTTGTGATTGTTGAACCGTCAGAAAGCCAAAGTGTCACCATCTCAGCCACCCGTGTGGATAATCTGTGGTTGTTTACAATTACTGTCACTCCTGACTCTGAATTTATATGCTACCGATAAATCATTTTCTTACACTTATTCACACGTAAGTACTTAACATTAAGAACATGACATACCATTAATACAGTGAAAAAATAATGTGTTCAGGCTAATTAAGCAGCACGGTAGCATCAACAGGATACCTGTATCAGCTGTTAAAAAACAGCAACAACAAATGACAGGCTTTCAGCCTGCACTTATGATGCTATGTTTTGAACCTTTGAAAGGGTTTCTGTGCACCGTATTTTATTTTTTTGAATGAAAAGAAACATCAGAAGCAGTTGAGGGACCAGGGATGAGCAGGCATTCTGCTGGATGGCTTTTAAAAATGTTTCTTCCAGAGTCATCTGCCTCATTAACACACCTTTTGTCTTAGAAGATTCTCTTTGATTTTATAAACTGACATGATTTCTTGTTTTGTTATGAATGCATGCTGCTCTAGTCCTTCAGTAAGCCTATCACACATTTCAACCTTGTAGTCTATAGGCACCTCTTCTGCATTGTTAATAACGTCATCTTCACTGTCATGTTGACACTTGAAAATTTTGGAGCATTTCAGATTTTGGATTTTTAGATTAGGGATAATCGACCTGGCTTGACCTGTATACATTGTGAAGCTTTCAGTATAGGTTACATGTGTGAATATGCCTTGGTTCCTTTTGTTTTATGTTTTGTTTTGCTTTGTTTTCTAGTTATTTCTAGCTCTTCACCGTACCTTTATTTTAGGAAAGTTTGGTGTGGTTTTTTTGGACCTAAATCTCCTTTTCTTTCAGATTTCTCCTTCATAATTAGTTCTTTTCATATGATTTATACTCAACTAATTGATTTTTCTTTCCTGGTCCCCACATCTTGAACAGTACATTCACATTGATGAAGTGCTAATGTACTGTTTTCAAACATTTTAAAGCCACAAGATCATTTTGTCTGACAAATCTTGGATGGATGCCCAAAGTATTATAGAAAACAAGGATCAAGCAGGACTGCTCTGGTTAGAGTGGGACTGAGAGCAGAAGTCTCCCTTTCTTCATTCTCTGTTGCTGTCTGTGTCCCACCCACATAGCCCTCCCTGGCTTCGTGACCTATCTGCTTTGGCATAATTTTCTTCCCATTAAAATTGTTATAATTAATGTTGCATTCTAGAATTCCTCCTTTATATAATTTTTGTTTTTCATTTACGTCATATTATTTTAAGTCTTTATGTCATTCCCATGAATATTTGTTGAATGCCTGCTATGTGTCAAACACTGCTATAAATGCTGGGGTATGATAGGGAAGGAGATAGACATGTCCTTGCTCTCGTGGAACTTATATTCTGCCTGGGTGTGGACAGGCAAATAAATAAACAAAAATACGAAATGGTGATATGTGCAAAGCGTAAAATAAGGTGATTTGAAAAGAGTGATGGGGTGGGGTGTGTTAGCCGGGGTGATCAAGTATTTCTCCCTGGAGGAGATGGCCTTGACGTACAGACACAAATAGGAAGGAGCCAGTCAGTAAACAGTGAGAGCAGAAGCTTGACTTCATCAAGAAATGGAATGAAAGCAAGGACAGCTGGACAATAGTGGAAATGCTTCAGAAAAGAAGTCAGAAATCAGGGTACATAGGGACTTGTAGACCATGGTAAAAATTTTGGATTTCATTCTACTTTCATTTCCATTCTGACATTTCTTCAAAAGCATTTTCCCATACTACTATACAGTCTTTATGAATATCCTTTTCGCGATTGCATGGGAGTCTATCATGTGGATTTATCCATTGATTTTATACCCAGTATGGATACTTAGATTTTGGCAGATTTTCGTTATTGTAATTAGTATGGAAGTGGACATCTGTGCACATTTTTAAAAGACTGTTTCTTGTTCAGGGTTAGCTGCTTAGCAATATGTTTCTGGGAGCGGACTTAAATATTGCTAGGTTTTATTATTGAAAATGGCTAAGTCTAAGGCCATAGCTTAATGTGAGGGCTAAATGGGTCTCCTTGTAGATCCAAGTTCCCGCTGTAATAATAGGTTACTGACAAAATTGGGTCCAGAACAATCTCTCCCTGCAGAGGCAGGCCCTTGCACGGAGAAGCGGTGGAGAATGCATAATTTTTGTGGGAAGGTCTGCTTCTGAGAGAACAGCAGAGCTGAGCCACAATGCCTGGTTACTGTTCCCTAGCTCACTCCGCCTCCCAGTGGTGGAAGTGAGTAAAGGCTCAATTACATCAAGTTACACCAATGAGTAACGGTAACTGGAAGGAAGCAGAAGGGAGAAAAAAGGGTTCCTTATTAACCCTTTTGATAGATCTTGATGTATATTATCTGAGGCTGAATTCAAATAGACCCTTTTAAAGATATGTTATAGTGAAATATGTTCAGGCTATTTTTTGTGATATTTTTACATACCTGTTTCTTGTATTTGAATATATAAATAAGATTCTTTGCAATTTTTAATAATGTAGTGACAAAGTAAGAATTGTGGGTTCTGTGTTTAATGACAAGTGTACTGAATCCTGATATACTGTTTTACTGAGTTATATTTTCAGCTTCGTAGAATGTTACTATTTTTATACCCACTATATATGGTTTTAATTCTGTATATTCAACCCTTTTATAAGTATAGGTTTTCATTTCAATCTTTTAACTCCTGAATTCCCATGGAATTTACTGAAAATAAGGGTTTTATAATGAGAGCTCTTTGTTCAACCTAATATTTTGTTGTCTAGGTAAAATGTTTTTTTTTAATTTTTATATTGTGTGTCTAAGGTGAAAATTATACTGTTAAATTAATTTCTCAGTGGCATATTAGAATAGAATGCTCTTGTTAATAATTTCTTAACATGATCAGAATGAACCCAGAATAGAAAATTAGAGTAGAGGAGGTTAAAACCCCCCTCTTCCACTTTGTAAGAGATAGTGAACCTTGAATCTAATTAATACCAATAATCAAGAAATTGAAATATTTGCATCTCTGAGAATCAGTGTTTACAGGAGACATCATGACTTTATCTTTTTAGTATATTTTTGCTTAATTTTAATATAATCATTTACTGATGCCCCTGAGCTACTTTTTAAATTTATAATTTATGGCAGAATTAAAACTGCTTTTGCAACTGTGAGAAGTCTTTGGCAAATAACACCAGATGATATACTAAAGATACTTGAAAGATGTGAGAAATGTTTTTTGTTAGTGCTATTGAAATATGTCATCTAAATGGATGGTGTGACACAATGTAAAATAAACACATTTAGATGCTATTGCACTATTGAAGCCGGCCTGCCTGAAGTGAACCTTCCTGTACAGCATAAAACTGGGGGCCGGAATGGCCTTCGGAGACTGCATTCAAAGCTCTACTCACAGGCCGAATAAAGTACACGATTTATGGTTCTTCTGTGTTAAATGTCCCTAGAGAACATGAGATGTCCCATAATTTCCCCTGTTAAACATTTCAGTGATAAGCAACTGGCTTTTATTAGCCTAAATTAAAAACAAATTGATTAAAAATCTCACATGTGGCTATGCCAGCCTATATATACAGACTTTTTTTTTATTAGTAAAAAATTTCTACACGTTTTTTTCTTTTGAAAAATCATAAAAGTGAAATCTCACAAATTAATTTTCAATCCTGATGTGCCTATTCTAATAGTGGCAACATTTCTTTTGCATTTCTGTTAACTGTGGTTGCATTAGTTTTAGAGTAAGTGAATAATTAATGACAGTTGATTAATGAGATAATGATTGCATTTTGAGTGGACTCGGATGGATGGAAGAGGCCGCAGGGATTTCTGCTTTTTGTGCCGCTGGCCCAGTTTCGTGCACTGAAACTCCAGGTTTTTGTGGCCATCCCTTGAATAATCCCCTTCAAGTTGAATGAAACTTAAATGAGAGTCAGTTATTCTTTGGTTACTTGAGGTATTCTTTAGGAAGTTACTACTTCTGAGGAATGCTAAATTAGTTCTGTCATTTTTCTGCGGTAAACTTGATCAACAGCTTGGTATATGCAGAATAAAATAACCTCGTTGTGTCTGTGTGGGTCATTTATTTATTCTGTCAGTCAGTCAATAGTAATTGCACACCTGCCACGTGCCCATTATGGTTCTAGGAGCTAGGGGGTCAGTAGGGAAGAAAGAATATGAAATCCTGCCTGCGTGGAGAATGGGGAACAGAGAAAGCCCGCGCGGGAGAGGGTTGCAGTTTTGAAGAGCACAGTTAGAAAAAGCCTCTCTGAGATGATGATATCCGAGCAAAGCCCTAACAAAGGCGAGGGAGCAAGCCGTGCAGAAATCTGGAGGGAGGGAAGAAGCAACAGCAAAGGTCAAGGCTGTGGGTGGCAGCATGCCTTGCACACCCACATGGAGTCACCTCTCCATGGCAAGTAGAAAGTGAGGTCAGGGAGATGACGACAAAGGGTGGGTAAGGGCAGATCACATGGGACTTTGAAGGTCAGTAAGCTGGGAAGCCATTTGAGCATTTTGAACAGAGGATCGATGTGATCTGATGTTTACATTTTTAAAGAGATCACTCTGGTAGCAATATTGACTCTAAGGTGACTAGGGTGGAGGCAGGGGACTCAGGTAGGAGGATTTATTGACAGACTGGATGGAGGGAGCTAGCAGGATTTATTGACAGACTGGATGGAGGGAGCTAGCAGGATTTATTGACAGACTGGATGGAGGGAGCTAGCAGGATTTATTGACAGACTGGATGCAGGAAGAGTATGTGAGAAAGAGAGGGAAAGAGGATGACTGTGGGTTTTGGCCTGAACAATTGGAAGGATGGGTTGCTATTTACTGAGCCGGCAAAGACCTTGGTGCATATTGATCTGTTTCTTATTCGCTTGCCGTGCCTGTGTATTTTTTTCTTTTCATATTTGCTTTGAACACTGTAGCAGAGCCTTGGACCTGACTGTTTTGTTTGTTTTTTTTCTTTCTTTCTTTTTTTAGCTCTCTTAAATGGGGTAAATAAAATGCACAGAGAGTCAAAATTTTAACTTATACCGGGTAACTTGGGGAAAATGAAGTATCCTTTTATAAAATTATTTGATAAATAAACCTGTAAAAAGAAATAACCATCACAACACAGACTGTTCTAGTAACAGGTCTACGGCTTGAGAGATCAGAAATATAACAGCAATTACATCGAGTGGAAAGGCAGGGTTTCTTTGGTTTCAGTAAAGTAACCTATAGGTGAGGGTCATGACGTCAAAGCAAATTTGACATTTTCACAGAGCTGAACAAGGTCCTGTAAATTAGTTCTTAAATGTATTCACTCCTGTGTAACAGGCTGATTCATTTCCTTCATTGTCCATTTTAATACGTCCTACTTTTAACTCCGTAGGTAAGCGAATATAATTTGTTATTCTAGTCTACCTCAAGTAAACAAAGAAGTATATAAAAAGCATCTACTGCACGAGCCTAATTTATTTTTACCAATAATAAGAGAATTAATTTGGAAAACCTACTTACAGAGTTACACATGTTTTTCTAAATGTTCCTAAATTTTGTATTCACCATGCCTGCATTTTTTTGCATTTTTATTTATTGCGTACATTATCTGAAGGTACTTAGCATGCTGAACATAGACTAACAAGATAATATTTTTTCAGTGCCCACCAAATCTTCATAAGCAAGATGGATATGCATGCAATCAAAATCAGGTATGCTGGGCTATAAATTTTAAATGGTAATTTTAAAAGGATTAGTTAGACAGATTTTTTTTCTTCTTTTTAATAAATGTAAATTTGAAGGGAAATTTATTCAAATAAATCATTACAGTGGGGTTCTAGGTCAGAGTTGCTTCATGTATCCTAAATGTTAAATGTATTATATTTAACCCTGATCCAAATTGAGAGAAAAAGAAAAAAATATATTGGCTGAAGAATTTAGGAATCTAATTTATTGAGTTGTGACCCCCTTTCAATAATTTCAGCCTGTTTATTATGGGGAAAAAGACAATTTTATGGGGTTTTTGTTTTCTGAAGCTACATTATAACCTAACCATTTACACACAAAAGAAGCTAAAAAATCATTTTGATATCATGCAAAGAAATATACCAATTTTTGTTTTCCATAAAATTGTAAATTTTAGATGATTAGTTTGGATTTTCAGTGTTGTACAAGGAGGTCTGTTCTGAGTTTTAAATTTTTAACTGCCTGCTATGCTGCTTTTAAGATGTTTGTGATTCTTATTGGTTGCTATGGAAACATTAGGATATGGAATGAAAAAACCTTAGCTAAGTCGGCTAGAAGGAGACCGTGTAGTAAACATGACGGGAAAACGAACTGACTCCGTGAGCCTTACATGTGTGCTCCTGTCTCCAGGGCCGCTGCTACAACGGCGAGTGCAAGACCAGGGACAACCAGTGTCAGTACATCTGGGGAACAAGTAGGTTGCGTCTTCCTGCTTGACAGTCACACATACAGTTTTCCTTTAATATTGTTCTTCTCTGCCGGTCTTGCTGAAAGCGATGCACGGCTTGGCGTGATGTTAAAAAAAAAAAAAAATCCACAAAGGGTGTGAGAGAACTGTGACTCTGAGGCACAAAAGCTATAGAAAAACAGCTGCTTCCATAGGGGATTTGCCATCAGAACGGCGCAGCGTCCTTCAATGGCTGTGGCTCTCGGAGAGCGGATGCTGTACTCACTTGCAACAATCGGGTTGAGTGCGGCGGTCATATTCATTATCCAGCCACTCGGGCGCTTTACTCTGTACCTTGGATTTAAAATTACGGCCCCCACCCCTCCCCACTAACACATACTAGTTAGCTTTCTGTTTTTTACCCCAGGAAAGTACCAGAATTATTTTTTAAATTCTATCATCACTTACTGTCTCAGTTCAAAGTGAGAAAATGCAGATACTTCTTCCTAAGGTGCAGACAGGTACACGGTTATGATTCCCAGTACAGTCCCTAAACGTTAATATACCTGTCCCTTCCCGACGTGTGCAGCGCCTCTCCGGGGAACATCGGCTCTTGACGACCAGACTGAAGGAACAAGAAGTTCTCGGAATTTTACTAGCCTTGCCGGCCGAGGCCGGGCCACCCCGAAGGAAAAGAAAGCACACAAAAGGAGAACAGGGCCGCTGGCATGAATGATTTCAGAGTTTGGCGAATGTCATTTATCTAAAAGATTTATACTCGGTCCCTTCAGTTTTGACAGAGGAAAGATACAAGAGACATATTTATTTTTTAAAAGGTTTAAATATCAAAACCCAGGTGCCAACAACGTAAAATCTCAATGGTTTACAACTTTATAATCTCCTAAAATTAATATAAACCAGGATTAAAAATGTTTACTCATTTTCTGTGTGTCACTTTACTCATTCCTGCTAGGGATGATTCCCACCTCCCAGCCTCAAACCCACCAACAAGAATTAGAAAGAACTTCGTTTCTCAGGTTGAAAACAATGTTGCATTGGAGCTTTGTTTGTGTGAGCATAAAGAGCCAACTGTTAAATTTTTAGGAATTTTACAAGCCAGGGGACATCACAGTGATAGCTTGAAATCAGCCATGGAATATTTACCCCCGGGAAACTAGCAATTGCTACAAATCAGGATTTTTTTTTTTTTCTTTTCTTTTCCTGGAGAACTAGTTGTTAAGCATTTACCGGCGCACTACTGGTCACGGGTAACAAAGGGAACGGAAATTAATTTTCTTCTCTTGTGCATCTTCAAAAGAGGCTGCAGGGTCTGACAAGTTCTGCTATGAAAAGCTGAATACGGAAGGCACAGAGAAGGGAAACTGCGGGAAGGACGGAGACCGGTGGATTCAGTGCAGCAAACAGTGAGTGGCCGGCTCTGGGCGTGTCATGGCTGGACGTGGAAGCCCTGTGCAAAATGCAAAAGGAGCACAAAATAAATGTTACTGACTTTTTATACATGTTCAATTATTCAAAAATGTAAAGTATATATATTTAAAAAATATATTAGTATACCTAGAGGCAAATGGCTATGGATTAAACTGTTGCTATGCAACAGACTCGTGCCATTTCCGTGAAATTCAGAAAATCTCTCACATGCTGCATTTCAGTTGATTCTTGTTCTGAAAAGATACTTTGCCAAAGTATTACAAATTAGTGTTAGGTTTTAATTTTCTACTTTTGCTAGAACATATGGCCTATGAATATAGTGGTATACACAGAGTTTAAGAGGCAAAATATATGAAATGTAAATATTTTGGGGACCAGTCAAAGTGAAATAATAATATATTTTTGATCATTTCACAAGTGCAACACCATTTGATTTAATCAAGCTTATAATATCTATACCAGGGATTTTTTTTTCCCCTTCTAAAAAGAATCTAGTTAGTGGATATTGGAGGTATCTTTCCTTAGGAAATGAGATACTTTCAGAGCACGCTGCTGATATTTCGCTTTGATTAATTGAGGAAAGTTAGAATTCTTATATAATAGGTTATTAATGTTAATTCATTGATACAGGTCTATGGAATCTTAAGTTATAAGCCAAAGCACCTGCGTTTTCCATCCATAGCAGTGAAATTCTTCTCCCAATGTTGAAGCAGGGTGAGAATTTAAGGGCAGGTTTATTTCTTTGTTCAGTGATCTCTGCGTTGTACTTTATGAAACTTGGCCATTCCAAGTCTTTGATAGTGGATGACGCATTTAGCAGGCAGCAAATCTTTGACTGTAATTTCTTTAACATTCAACCAAAATAATAGAGAACAGAGGTTCCCATCTACTGTCTCATGAGTGAGGTACAGATGTTCTGAGATGTTGATCCTCCATTCTTAAGGTGCCAGGGAGTAGGAAGAAAGGGGACCTGAAGTAGTCAAAACCCATGGGATTGGACACCTCTGAATTTGATCAGCTTCATTCATTGACTCCATGTTCTAGACAAATCTGATCATTTTTCCGCGTCTCTGTGCCTTCAAAACGTTCAGGAGGCATTGGATTATTGTAAAAGATCATGGTTTTAATTTGTATTTCCCCAGATTACAAATGGAATTTAGCACATTTTTGTATGTTTATTGGACATGGATTTCCTTTTTTGTGATATACCACACACATCCTTTGGGAGTCATTGTTTACTTAACAGATAGACTGGAGGTCGATGCCCTCCTGGTGGGTGAGTCATTTAACTGTGTCACCCAGGCCTCATGATTTCTACCCCTCTGCTCTGTAATCCTTAGCATGTTGAGGTTTTGTCCTTATGCTTGTGGACTCAGGATTGTGGGATAGATACAAAAGCTACACAATCAAAGGTGGAAAGCAGGAGTAGGAGCAGAAGGTCTGCCTTCTGTCAGTCTCTAACCTTTTATCCAGAAAGCAAAATCCCCCAGCATTCCCTAGCTGGCTTTCCCTCACATTTTACAGCCCAGGGGCCACTTCTAACTCTAGGAGGGTAGGGAGGGGGGATGGAGAGGAGAGTAGGGGTAGGAACGAGAGTGCCATGACCAGTGTAGATACTCGTTATGATCCATCTTTCATGGCTGACACTTTGCTGCCCAACACAAAACTGTGATCTTCTTAGTAAGGAAAGAAGGAGTTATAGCCGACCAAGGGTATCTAAACAAGTGATTTTGTTTAGAAGAAAAGAGATATTTAAAATTTTTGAATATAATTTTTAACTTGATTGCCTTTCTTCTTTCCTTCACACGTTCAGTGATGTATTCTGTGGATTTTTACTCTGCACCAATCTTACTCGAGCACCACGTATCGGTCAGCTTCAGGGTGAGATCATCCCAACTTCCTTCTACCATCAAGGCCGGGTGATCGACTGCAGGTACCATATTACATGTTGGAAAACCTAATAAAACACGAGAATTGCCAATTTCAAAAAATCAAATTTTGAAAAAACCAAAAATCATTGATTGTTTAGTTCTAACAAGAGGAAAGTTGACTTAGATTTTTATCACCTTTCATGTTGAGAGTCAGTGAACAAGCATAGCTGTATATTGATTTGAAAATTACATTTGCTCAAAATTTTACTAGTTATTAGTAATGGGACATTCTTTGTAAACATAATCTTTAGAGTAGAATTACAGTATTTATTTTAACCTGTAGTTAAAGTTTTTGAGGATTGGAATATGGCATGCTTTGAACACTGTGTGTTTTATTTTATGAGTCCCTCTATCCCCGAAGAAAAGAGTTTAAACTATACTTTATATAACATGTGCCTGGTTTAGAAGATGGCTTAACAAATACCCAATTACACATAGAAAATATTTATTAAAATATTATTTATAGCGGTAAGCAAACATTTGCTATCCACTTGTCTGGGAGTGCCATGCAGGTAGGTATGATGCTTATTGTTTTTAGTCAGGGAGACATATTATATTCTAAATTAGGATTGTTCTCTTCAAAGTAGTCGTAATTCTCAGATACTGTTCTCTTACTCTCTTACTCTCAGATACTGTATCTCTTAATGATACAGGTGCTGCCCAAAACACTTTTGGGATTCTCCCTAAAGAATTGCTTTTGGCATCTGGAAACTTTTATTTTTAGTATCCTTAGAATAGCAAATCTCCACTTTATGTGAGGGAATTATCGAAAAATAATTTTGAACAAATTTTAGTAAATCGATTGAGTATCAAATTGGATAACATGCCGTCTTGGTCAGGTAGTTGCTGCTTTTCTGTCTTTTTTTTTTTTTTTTTGAGACAGAGTCTCGCTTTGTTGTCCAGCTAGAGTGAGTGCCGGTGGTCAGTAGCTCACAGCAACCTCAAACTCCTGGGCTCGAGCGATCCTTCTGCCTCAGCCTCCGAGTAGCTGGGACTACAGGCATGAGCCACCATGCGGCTATTTTTTTTTTTTATATATATATCAGTTGGCCAATTATTTCTCATTTATAGTAGAGACAGGGTCTCGCTCTTGCTCAGGCTGGTTTTGAACTCCTGACCTTGAGCAATCCGCCCGCCTCGGCCTCCAAGAGCTAGGATTACAGGCGTGAGCCACCGCGCCCGGCCTGCTTTTCTGTCTTTTAAATGATTCCAAAAGCAGTCGTAACAGCGTTTTAGACTATAAGATCCTTCCTGGAATAAATTTATAGTCCTCCAAGCTAATTACTTTGATGTACACAAGCTTTCTTTGAATGTGTATATTTTTACATGTCTTTAGATACAATAGCCTTGTTAAATTATATTGTATGCTAACCTAGCATATTTGTAAAATATCCAGCAAGGTATTCTGTTAGTAATTATAGCATTGATTATCATTCAGGTTCAAGTTATTTCTAACTTTGAAATTTTTGAAGTATAAGTCATGCACCGAAGTGCATGAGAAGATGTTTCAGTCAATGATGGACTCACATAGGACAGTGGTCTCATAAGATTATAATACTATATTTTTTACTGTACCATTTCTATGTTTAGATACACAAATACTTACCATTGTGTTACAGTTGCCTACAATATTCAGTACAGTCACATACTATACAGGTTTGTAGCCTAGGAATAATGGACTATATATAGTGTGTAGTAGGCTATATTATGTGGGTTTATGTAAGTAAACACTATGATGTTCATACAACAATGAAATCACCTGATGACACATTTCTTAGAACTTAACCTGACATTAAGTGAGGCATGACTGTAAATATCAATAGAAAAGAACTGGTGTATTTATTTTTTCAATTATCGATAATCAAATTCTCTGAAATAATAATAATAATTTTCATTTGTTGTTTTCCCAATATCTACTTTTTTCTATCATGCCACATCTGAAAGCCGTAGAGAGCTAATGATATATTTGCTTCTGTTTTCTCATGCAAACACCTCCTCCCCTATTCTTAATGTTGGGCTTGAAAATAAGCGAAGATTTAGAATACACTTCATGCAAATGACATTTTTTCCTGATGATATGCAGTGTAATAATGAAAATGAAAGATAGTTTCTTTTTCATGCTCTTTCATTAAAGGGAGGTGGGGAAGGGGGAAGAGGAGGAGAAGAATGGAAAAATGCTAGGAGAAACCCATGTCCACTGACAATCTCTTTAGTTTCATGAAGAACAAGCCTCATTTGTGTTGACATTGCATTTCTAAGTGTAGTACTAATGATTTTATGGATATTTTTCTCCTTTTAGTGGTGCCCATGTAGTTTTAGATGATGATACAGACGTGGGCTATGTAGAAGATGGAACGCCATGTGGTCCGTCCATGATGTGTTTAGATCGGAAGTGCCTACAGATTCAGGCCCTAAACATGAGCAGCTGCCCACTGGATTCCAAGGGTAAAGTCTGTTCAGGCCACGGGGTAAGTAGGTATCACTGTTCTAGCTTGAACCTTCACTGGCTGGCATCCTGAAAGTTCACAGTGGTTAGACTTCCAGTTCAGCCATTCTCCTATTGTGGCTATTGTTAATACTGGTTATGATTATTTTCTTCATACCCTTATCTGCCAAGAATAAACCATGTGTTAATATGGTTTCATGTTTGTTATTTCTTTATCACTTGCCATTTATATTCACTACATTCTCCAGATAAAACTTGACATCTGTATTAGTCAAGGTTCTCCAGAGAGTGTATCCAACTGGAGATCTATCTATCTATCTGTCTAGATATAGATCTAGATATGTAAAAGGAGATCTATGATGAGGAATTAGCCCATGGGATTATGGAGTTATGACTTGTATGTACTAAGTCCTACACTCTGCTGCCAACAGGATGGAGACCCCAGAAAGCCAATGGTGTAATTCAGTCTGAGTCCAAAGTCTTGGGAACTGGCAGAGTTGATGATGTAAATCTTAGTCCTAGGGCTGTATAAAATGAGATGAAGTGTCCCAGCTCAAGCAATGAAGCAGACAAAAAAGGGGGCATATTCCTCATTTCTCTATCTTTTTGTTCTATTCAGGCCCTCAATGGGTGGGATGATACATACCCACATTGAGGAAGGGAGTCTACTTTATTGAGTCCACTGATTTAAATCCTAATCTTGTCTGGAAACATCCTCACAGACACACCCAGAAATAATGTTTAATCTGGGCCCAGTCAAGTTGACACATAAGATGAACTATCACAACATCTAGGCCAGGCACAGTGGCTCACGCCTGTAATCCTAGCACTCTGGGAGACCGTATCCGGCAGATCGCTCAAGGTCAGGAGTTCGAAACCAGCCTGAGCAAGAGCGAGAACCCGTCTCTACTAAAAAATAAACAGAAAGAATTGGCCAACAAAAAATATATAGAAAAAATTAGCTGGGCATGGTGACGCATACCTGTAGTCCCAGCTACTCGGGAGGCTGAGGGAGTAGGATTGCTTGAGCCTAGGAGTTTGAGGTTGCAGTGAGCTAGGTTGACACCATGGCACTCTAGTCCAGACAACAGAGTGAGACTCTGACTCTAAATAAATAAATAAAATAAAATAAAATGAACTATCACAACATCTAAAGCGTTAAAAGAAAATTGATAAGATTCCTAAAGGAATTGTAGGCCTCATGTAACTATTTTGTATGATTCAAAACAACCTAAACCATCTCAGTCATTCACTTTCAGCTACTCAGTAGTCATACTGAGTATGTGTGTGTACAAGATTGCACTAGACTAGAGATTGGATCACTAATAAAATTCACATGTTTAGAGTTGTACAGTTGTGCTTGGACCATTGTCAGCCAAAGAGAAGACACTTTCCCTCTTCATAATTGCACATATCTGTAATTCTGTGAACAGAGTGGGCAAGTTGCCCTTACTGCAAACCTAGACTTCCTATCCAAAAACAAATTTTAGTAATTATTTAAATTGGGCTTAGCAGAAAGAAAGTCTTTCAAAATTTATATAGACTTCAGAAGTGGAAAAAAGATATGTGAAGAAACAGAGCATTAATATAAAAGGGAGATGCTAGAATGAAGGTAAAAATAATCCAAAATATACAGACAGGCAGATGACATGGAGTAGGACAAGGTGGAAGGCCTATGAAGCTTGTGCCCAACGATAATCTAGAGTTTTGGTTTTGGTTGAATCATAGGCTCCCAGGAGCCAGGATAGCTTAACGTTTGAGAGCATGGGTTTGCAGGTGAGGAAGAATTCTGGGTTTGTGTCCTGGCTCCGCTTTTTGCCATCCCAGTAACTTTGGGCAAGTTACTTAACATCTCTCAGCCATCAGGGTGCTGGTGTGAGGATTACTACATTTTGCATAAAGCACTTAACTCAGGTACCTGGCACACAGTAAGTAATCAGTAATTGCTCCATTAAAGTAAAATCACTGGGCAGCCTTTTCAGTTATTTCAGTTATTGCTCTGAAAATATAATACTTAATGCATAAAGGGGGCCTGAGTTCTTTCCCACTACCACGCCCACTCCCATTTTTTTCATCTATTGGAAGAAAAGGCCAAATTTAGCCATGTTAATCATAGTCCTGGCATTATAACATTAAAGAATAAAAAGCTTCTAAGTTTGATTTTATCATCTCTAAAAGTCTATCTCTGAATGTATTTCACAGGGAGATTAGGGCTCAGATGTTTTTGTTTTCTGGTTTTTGGTTTTATTTTCCTCTAAAGTCCAAGTCCATTCCAGCATGCTGTGTGGTGCCCAGAGAAAGAGAGAGGAGATATGAGATCACTCTGGGCTCTTCAGCCTGGCAGACTGAGAAAAGAAGGAACCACGGATTGGGAGGGAAGGCGGGAGGGGTGCTTGTTTGGTAGGGGAATCACCAACAAATGAGTTTGGTGTTGGATACGGTGAGGGAATGCAGTACGTTGGTGATTTATGTTCCTGGTCTTTTATCTCTGGCAGTGCCTCTTGAGCCCAATATTTATGGGATTAAGCATATATATATTTTAAAGTATGTTTCTAGAAAAAGCTACTTCTGAAAAAAACTACCTTGTTAGACATTTGTGTACTTAAATAACATCAACATGAATATTCATATTTAAGAATTTTTCTATAATTAGTGGAAAGATAATCATTCAACAATTGGATCTATGTATTATTTCCCCCTATGTAGTAGTGCTCAAAACAGTGGGAAACTTTAAAAAAATTTTTTTCAATGTTTTTAAAGCTTTCTCCCTGTTCTTGTGTCTCTTCTGTGTGTATTGTCATCATCCTGCACAGCACAGTGAAAATGCCCCATCACTGTTCTTTTTTCTTCACAGGTGTGTAGTAATGAAGCCACCTGCATCTGTGATTTCACCTGGGCAGGGACAGATTGCAGTATCCGGGATCCAGTTAGGAACCCTCACCCCCCCAAGGATGAAGGACCCAAGGGTTTGTGTGATTTCAGTTTCAATTCATTGCATACTGAATTCATTGGCAGTGCTCCAGTGCACCAGTATAACACTTTAATAGATTTGAGAGAAGACACATAAGAATATCTCTTTTTACCATTAAAATGTATAATTCATGTTACAACAGAATTGAAGATTCTGTATAGATCATATTTTAAACATGTGGTTGAATTACTTCTCAGTCTAGAACTAAGATTAAGAAAAAGTAAATATACCAATTTCCTTTAATATAGTTTTTTTTTCTCCTTTAGATGTCATTCTTTTCCTATACTTACAAATGCTAATTATAGTTTGTCTAAGGCACTATGCCAGTTTTCTAATAGATAAAGTCTTTTCGGCTGACATGAGACTGTGGTCATTTCTCCATACTTGAATCCCTCAGAGGGAAGTTGCAGCCTTCTAAGTTCTCTTTAAATATTCTTTTGATTAGGAAGGAGTTGGGATTTTTCACAGAACTTTAATTCTTCAAAGAAACTGTGAAATATCTGGACCTTTGTTTTAATCAGTCATTAAGAGGAGAGGAATTAGAATTTTAGAATTATTAATAGAAGGGATCTTAGTGCCCACCTACGGCCACCATCCAATTTTGCAGATGAAATCACCCAGGCCCTAAGCGCAAGTGACATCCTATCCGGGGAATGAGAGGCACGGCTGGGACCAGGGTCCAAGGGCCTGATCTCAGACTCATGCTCTCCTCTATTACATCACCTTATAATGTAGTATATGGCAATCACTTTCTTATTATTCTCCCCATTCCCAACCCCTCAGATAATTCTCAAAGATCTAGAAAAGCCATCAGTCACAATAAGCTTACTACAGCATCTATAGCATGTATCTGAAAAACTAAAAAACTACTGGAACAAATTTTGATATATAGCAATGACATTGCATGTCAGCTTCTTTCTGCTAACAGTATTTTATAAGTAACTGCCATGCTTTTCTCCTACAGAGGAAAACACATACAGGAATAGTACCATTCTGATCAGCTTAGTTTTAGACGAAAGTTCATTTAAAGTCACTGAACATCAGTAGAATTCGCATGGGAAAATATGACTTGAAAAGCAGATGAAGCTCTGTAGTCCTCAATTCCTGAAGAGATTTAGGCTGATTCAGGTGCATGTGAATTATTCAGTAGTAGCCAGTGTGTTAAAACACATTTTATACATTTGCTTAATATGGCCACGATATTAAGTTTCTATAAGGATCACAATCACACCCTCACAGCCTATTTTTGTTTTCCTCCTTCTATTTCTGAAAGAGAATATATTCCACTTTTATACTTAGGCTTTTGTTACTTTAAAACTAGAACAAAAAAGTCTTGGATCCACCTCCTAAAGTTAGATTTAGAGAAGATGTAGGCTCTGATGACAGAAGCAGAGGTTCATTCTTTCCAAATTTTCTCTCCGTAGCATGTTTGTAACTTTAAAAAAAAAATTAGATGCTATTTCCTCAAGTGAAGTATAAAGATGCCTGAACAGCTGAGCAGAGCTGAATTTACCTAGACTATACCCTTTCTTTAGGAAAGGTAGGGGATTGTTAATTCTCATTCTATTTTCCATTCCTCACCCACCCATCCTTAGAAAAATTATTTGGAGACATAAAGTAAACAGCTACATTCTAGGGAAAAGGGTGTTCACAGCTACCTTTATTTTATTTTGTTCTGTTTGTCCGTTCTATATTATCTTTTTAAAAAAATAATTTTTTCAGTCATTTAAGTAATATATGTTTATTAAAGAAAATTTTGAAAATACAGAAAAGATTAAAAGGAAAATAAAAATCACCCTTAATCTCATGACTCAGAGGCAATCAATATGAGAAATCAATATGAGCATTGATTACCTCTGAGTTGCATGTTTTCTTTTTTCATTCTTAATGAAGACAATGGAGTCATTAAAATAAAGGTACCCATTGGTTCTAAAATTATTGAAATCTTTGTGAATCTCTAATAATTTTGATTATATTGAAAATAATGTCATTAATTAAAGTAAATGAAGATCATTTATTTATTTAAATTATTAGGTTCCAAAAAAAATCAAACAGTTTTAGTATAGTAAAACCTTTATAAATCTTTATCTATTTATATTTTTTCAGCCTTTATAGAAAAATCTATTAATATACTAGTAAAATGGAAAACAACAGAAATTAAACATTTTAAAACTTTGTTACAGATTGTATGATTTTACTTTTGATAGGTTAAAAGAAGATGCTAAGTGAGAAATTATGTACTTTTAACTTTTATTTTAATCCATTTAGCAAATATTTATTGAGTGTTTGCTATTTAAAAGACAGCACATCCTTGACACACAGCAGGTACTCAATAAATATTATATCCCTTCCTTTTAGGAATATGTACAAGAAATGAAATGCATGTTAGTACTGATTTTCAGTTTATCTATATCCATGCCTTGCTGAAGAGTAACAGGTATGAACTCAAGATATTGAAATGATTAGTATGTTCTTGACTATAGGTTCAACAGTGTGTGAGGAACTTTGGCTTTACTTGAAAACTGTGTACTGTCTCTTTTTTCTCATGATCCAGCTGGTTTGGTTGGCACTTGCCTTACTGAGCACAGTGTTTGGGTCCTCCCCAAATGTTTGCCGTATGATGGGTGACACCCATGATGGTCTAGCTAGCCAGTCATATCCATAGATGAGGGTTTTCTGTATAGATGCAGTGAAAGGGGAGTAAAAATACTTCGTTTTATTTATTTTCAATGTGCATCCTTGATAGGGAGCAAAAAATTCAAGAATCATAATAAAACTATTGCCCTTTATATCATGAGAATAAAAGATAAATTCTACCCACTTCCCTTTGGATCAAGACTAAATTAGTAAAAAGAAAGACAAATTTTGTGATTTTGTTTTCATTGCTCGGAGAATGTCAGAACAAACCCATGTGTTTTGGGTATTTCTTTTATTTTAGCTATAAGTTCCTGGAAGATTAGGAAATTCAACCTCTCCATCTGGTAGGGACTAAAAACATACCCGAAAGCATTGCCACTATAGTCACTCTGCACTTGTAAAAGTTTTTCGCTTGTGGACCCACAGTTTAAAGCATGCTAGATTATTCACTCCAACTTCTCAAACCAAATTATTGAAAGACAAGAAATAGGATCTCAAAACACAAACCATGTGAGCAAGGATTTTTAAAAAAGATTTCTATTACATATTACTTCCATTCATTTTTTTTTTTCTACATTGTCATTTATTTCACATATGAAAACTCTTCTGGCCCCTCTTTTCTCAACTTGTTTCCATTGAAATCACTGAAGGAAATCATTTTGGTTTGTTCTGCAAGGATAGAATTTATTTTAACTCTGTTTAAAAGACCTAGAATTTCCACCTTGTTGTAGGGAGACCATGTCAAGTACCCTTAATTTTTGTCAGGCGGTAGACAGCTTTGCATGGTGCTTATTATGGAATACGATGGAACTTTTCTCCCTTGATAGTTTGCATCATCATTATAAGAGCGAGGAGAAGAAACTGGAACATATCAAATGTTTTCAGTGATATGTATGGGCAGACATTGTTTCTGGGAAGCTTTGGTCAAACCTTTTTATCACGATCATCATCATCAAATCAGAGATAGAAAGGATCCTGGAAGCAATTCAGTCCAGACTTGTCATTTTACGAATGAGAAAACTAAGTTAATTATCAGGGTTAACAACTAGTTAGTGGCAGAGCCAAAAATAAAGCATAAGCAACTGATCTTGAGCCAAATGCTTTTTTCTAATAAATGCTTTATTCCACGCTGCCTCATTTAAAGCTGAGTATTAAGTTATTCTACTAGTTATTATATCCTAATAGTAAGTAGAAAGGGCAAAACAATAACCAAGTAATAACTGTTTATTAGCTGATCCATTACCTGTCAATGGTGCTTCTTATAGAACTAGAGAAGAAAGGAAGTATTATATTACTAACATTTAGTATTTTTAAAACAATAGCTTCTAAGTCTTGCTTTCGAAGATATTAACTTTGAAGAATATTATTTAGTGTTTACACTTATCTTTTGCAACATTTCCTTTTGGTGATTTTGTGAGTACACAGATTTTTGATTTTGTAGTTCAGATGATTAGATATGAGAAATTATGCTTATCATCTCTGATTATGCTCATGTATAATTATGGGTCACCTAGGTATTTTTCTCATTAACAATGGCCTCATCAATAACTTAAGGATTTATCAAGTTTTAAAATTTTTTAGTAACTGTTTCTTTTGTTTCAGTTCAGAAAAACTCCTTATTTTTATTGACAGCATAAACTGTCTGAAATACATTCTTTTTATGAAATCATTTATTTTGCATCCTTTTAGACATTTGTCCATGTACCCAAAAATGAACTTAAATTTTCTTTTATTTTTATGGAAAAGAGTAAGGAGATCTGATTATATGTCTAACATTGAAATCTGGAGCTAGATACCAATATTACAATGTAAAGTATAAAGAGTTTATTTAACATTTACTTCTAATCTTAAATTTCAGTGGAATAATAAATCTCTGCAGAAAGAACTTTGGTCCAAATGATGGCTTTGATGCCATCTTTGGAGTATTAAAGAATACAGGATTTTAGCCCCTTTTGTAACCACATAGATGAAATAATGCACCTTCCTATTTCAGAAACTCTCTAAAAATAAGAAAAGAAAAAAAATACTCAGTTTTAAAAGAGCACAATTTTAGAATGTCTGAAGCATGGCTTGTCTACAGAGGAATTCTACATATAAAATAGAAAATCTTAAGAAAGGTAAAAAATTTATAGTTTGTATCTTAAAATTACATCTTTATAAAAAATTCTACCTTTTGGCACAAGTGAACCTATCTATTAGGGACCAAGACTAAATATAATAATAAACCAACAAATAACAGAAATAAATAAGAAAACAAAAATGAAAATAATACTGCTAGGTGATAAACAGGTTTTGGAAACATGTTATAATGAAAGGTAAGTGAGTCAAAGAGTTAGGGAGCAAAGTTACATTTCTAATATGAGGATTGTGTTATCAGCTAGAAGCTTTAAGAGTTCTTTCTCCAGGTTTGGTAGGATGAGGGGAAAAATAAGCTATGTTATTATGTGCCCAGCATAGTTTCTGGAACAAAAGGTCCAAGGAACTTGTTTTCAATGAGATGATAAATTCTTCATAGCTGTGAAAAGCAGCTGTAATCTGAATTTTCAAATGTCTCCTGTTAAAATCCACCCACGTGTGAGCCACTCAGTTAATTTATTTCAGTTTGAAAACAGGTTGAATCATTTCTTGAAGAGATAACCCTGTTAAGTATAACGTCAAAGAATCAAGTGGAACTGTTCACATAATTGCAGTGTGGCAGAACTGAAAGTAGTGGGAGGGAGAGAGGACAAGGGTAAGGGACACTTTTGAAAAAGCTTTTTTTCCCACTTTCTTTTGTCTTGCTTCAGTGTTAAGAGTTCTTATCAGTTACGAATGTGGAGATAATTATTTTTGCTCAGTGGAGATTACAGACTATATCTGTTTATCTTGAATATATATTTGAAGTGTCTATAGAAATGTCTTGTTCCTCTGGCTGTGTTTCTAAAACCTACGTGATGGGTGCCTAATTCTCTTGTTTCTGTGGTGAGAAATTACATCCATAGCAAATACAAAAAGCCTTTTGAAATTGTGATATTTATTCATCTTTCACGCAGTTATAATTTTAAAAAATTGACACATCCATTGAACATTACATTTTAAAGGAGATTTTTTTCTATAATTTAGCATATATGGCTTATATAAAAATTGAAAAAGTAATGGGAGTCTCCTGCATTGCAGCTCTGACAGCCAGTGCCTAACTTAAGCAAAAAAAAAAAAAAAGTTTTAAAATAATGTATCCTAGGTAGTATAGTATTCTGAAAGCAATGATTTTCTAAGGTCTTAAAAAAAATGAGGCTTTATATTTGGAATATCTTTGCATCCCAGTATTTGCCTCCATAATTTGAAAATCTGAGCTGTAGCTCTGGAGACCTGAATTATCAGTCATATTTGAAAAACATTGCTGCCACCTTATATGTTTGTCTTCTTCCTTCTCCCCTCAGCACTCTCAGTGGACTTTCTCTGTTTTCTGTCGTGTCCCTCATCCTTTTTTGTTTTTATTAAGAACAACTCAGGTTGTGTTTAAATGATAAAACTAGAATTTCTCACTCATATTATTTACGCTGTGATAAAACGAAGCAATTATACAGTTGCTCAAAAGGGTTAAAGATCCAAGGTTCTCACTCTTCTTTTGGGAGAATATTTAGCTAATAAGATCAATGAGCCCAATATGAAGCCTTAAAAAAAAACTGTGACTTAGAGTCATGGTTCTTTGTATTGTTCCACTGGGTCTCAGAGCACAGAGTCTGTGTAAGAGCTGCCCCGTTGAAGCCAGCCTGTTTTCATTGCCAAGGTGATTTGAAGCCAGTACTTTTGACTTATGTAGAAATATGAGGTAAAGTGTATGTATGTCCACACGTCTGTGTGTGCACAGACCTAGATACACAATGCACAATGCCCGTTTTTCAATATATGGAATCTATACACAGAAGTGGGGATATATAGTTATTTAGAGTCTCACTCTTTAGTATAATCTACCACTTGGTGATCTGAAGCAATTAATACACTTTCTAAAGACCCCAACTTTGTGTCAGTGCATCATTTATAAACAAAAAACTTAGTGTCCAAATACTCTGACAGAATTCCAAACATTGCAGAGTTATTTGAAATATACTTTTCAATAACTTCCCAAGTAAAACACACATTTAATTTAAAGCTACTCTGTTTTGAATTCCTAAGGATTTTCACAAAACTCAATGGTATATTCTAAATTTCAAAAAGGTCTGTCTCCTTAGGCATATTTTAGAGTTTGAGGATTTTGTAAAAAATATACTAATGGTTCATTACTATTGTAATCAAAATACTGATTCATTGTTACACAATTTAAATTATATTTTAATTTTACCTCACACTTGGTAGGAATTATAACTCAAATTGAATTATATATGTGTTTAAACATATGAGATTATGTTTTCAAGTGAGGTGTGTGTAGTATGAAAGTAAATTCAAAATTATCCTTAAATATCTTCAGTGTGTATGTTGATCTTAATTTCAAATCTCAAAACAACAATTTCAATATTTAACTGACTTTCAAAGCATTTCCTGAGTATATTATTCTGTATGTGAGTGACATTAGTGTGTAATTTCCTGTGTTAAAAAATCTCCATTTTCCCTCCACACAGTGAATATGGCCACAAGCAGGCTAATAGGTGCCGTTGCCGGCACCATTCTGGCCCTGGGGGTGATTTTTGGAGGCACAGGGTGGGGAATAGAGTAAGCATCTTTGTGAGTTAAGAGTGTTTCTGTGTGGTGCCTGGTGTGTGAGATGACGCTTGTACCTGACCCCTCTGTGTTTTGTCCTATTGACCGTGTTTCCTGTGGTCGTGCAACTTGTGGTGTGATTTGGATGTGTTTGTGTCTTGTGGTTTTCTTGTGTCATGTAGAACCTTCTCCTGTCTGGAACAATGTGGGGCATAAAATAATGTTGGGGGTGCTTATGAGAACTTCACAATTAAGGCAACAGTTCCAAAACTTCCACTGCTCCTCCACTTTGTAAAAGTAATTTTAAAATGTAGACTTTTTTTTAGGAACCATCTATTGGTAGAAATCCTTTTATGTGAGTGTTTTCATAGGATTTTTATGATAAATTCAATCTTCATCAGTTAAATAAATCCACATACACAACTAGGCATTATCAACAGTTGTAGCTCCTTTTAAAGTTAATAAGAATGATAGCCACTATTGTTTTCTCTGTGTATTTAGAATGATATAGGAGGCTTCGGCTTAATTTTTTTAAAAGAAGATATTTAGGATACTACCTTTATTTTTCTTATAAAATATGTTAATACTCAAAATCAAAGTTTACATAAATATTTGGAATCAAGGAGCATTATGAACGAAAAGATATTTAATCCAAACCTGCCTAACCTTAAGCAAACAACTGCAGATCACCTGGTAGGGCTGTCTTAAAAGTAGCCAGGGTGTAAGTAAATATATTTTGTGTCAGTTAGCCTCAAGCTCTCACAGAAATACAGCCTTCCTGGTGCCTTTGTTTAGGTTTTCTATACTTGGACCACAGCTGTCAGTTCTTCATGGGATACTGCTTCATGAGATTTCTAACCTTTGGACTAAAAGATTACCATGAGTTTTTCCTCTCTGTCTAATCACAAAGAGAGCATTTATGAATGACAGAAATGGCCCTTCACACACTGTCATTTCTCTTTACTGTGGTGGTGGTGGTCACACTTCAGGTGGCTCAGGAATGAATTACTGGTATCTTAAAAAATCACCAGATATCCTTTACTCAACCAGCCCACGTCATGGGCATGTTGACAATATCCGACATTTTCCTCCCTAATCCCATTAGTTGGAACACACCAGTGTTCTTACATCCTGGAATTGGGAGACCCGGGCACCAAAATAGCACTAAGAGGGGATCAAGTCCATAGGTCACATATTGTGATGAACATGACGTGAACCCTTTCTCCCCTGGATTTAAGGACTTCTGCCAGACTTGGATCTTGCAACTCATGTCCAATCAGTGTGGACTGTGAAACTTGTAGGCACAGAGGAAGCTGGAAATACTAGGAAAGAGATTTTATTTCTCCTTATGTGCTAGAAAATAAAGAATATAACAGAGAAATATTTAGACACAAGAACTTTGTCCTTTGAAATTTCACATTGGGTCTGTTGAGATTATATACAGGAGGAATATTCCTTTTCTGTGGGGAATTCTATACATACATGTAGGTGAAATTCCTCCTTGAAGAACAGTTTTCTATAAATTATCCCAAATACATGTTTTGCATTATTTATTGGCCATAACATTGGTGTCTTGAAATGTACTAATTGAAGGGATGAATTTTAATAATCCTTCCTTTGAGTCTTAGAGACAGGTAGAATCAAAAAGGCCTTTGTTGTAAAACATAGTCCTTGTTACCAGCATTCGTTGTCACTCATCATTTCCAGTGTTCTTGGTTTGTGTGGCTATTTCTGGTTGTGACAGGTAAGTCTGTGTAAGTGTATATATATATTTTTTCTAAAAATAGATTTATTATTTTTTGGTTTCTGAGCTATTTTTATTTATTAGCTTACTGATTTATTAGCTTACTGATTTACTTTCCTTCAAATTCTAAATTTTGCCATAATTGCTCAAGGAGTAAATGTAGATTTTTAAAAATAAAATTAATATAATACAATACAGATTGTTCTAACACTTCCTAGTTTAACTGATAATATAATGTTCATTTAGTCACTAAAGGTTCCATGGACAGAGTTTTTGTTTTAATTTTTAAAATTTCTACTTCTTAGTTTATAATTATCGATGAGGAATCATTTCTCCTGGATTATGTATAGATTCTAATCCCAGACTATGTTTTCTGATGCTAGCAAAGTGCAAATTCTGTCTAAAGCATAGAGTATGTACATGGTTATGTAAATATTTTTGTTTGTAAATGTATGTGTTTCAAAATTTGATTCTCTATTGAAATGTGGGAGGAAATACATGTAAATGGAATAAAGGTTCATTAGAGTAGGGACTAACAAGCCTTCTGGAAAGGGCCAGATGGTAAACAGTTTTGGCTTTTAGGCTATAGGATGTCTGTCACAACCTCTCAACAATGCTCTCTTAGCATGAAAAAACATGATTGTTTATGGATAAGCAATTTACAGCTGCTTAGCCATACAGAATATGTAAATGAGTGAGTATGGCTGTGTTCCAATAAAATTTTTTTTGCAAAATCAAACAGTGGGGCCAGAGTTGGCCCATGGACTGTAGTTTGCCAACCCTTGATTTATAGCAAACATTTTAGAGTCTAACAAATCTGTTTTCAGATCTTGACTCCATCACTTATTAACTTCTAGAAGCCTCTGCTTCCTCATCTATTAAACAGGGATAGTCATAGTTCCTATCTCATGTGGTTTTTGTGAGCATCAAATGATATACTATACGTCAAGTGCTTAGAACTATGGTTGGCACATAGTAAGTGCTCGGTACACAGTAGATAAACTGCTTTTGTTGCTCTCATTATTATTTTTTTATTATTGGTGTATCTCTAAAGACAACTGAGATTCATATTCTATAGAACCTTGGGTGTTAATCCTAAAAGCATGTGACAATCCCAGAGCTGGCAGAGACCCTCATCCTCGAGACTGCAGTGGGCCTGCACCTGCTACCAAGCCGTGGGTGGTCTCTGAGGAAAAACATGTCATGCATACAATTTTAGTGCTGCCCAAAGTGGCATCCATTTATGTACACAGTTGAGGGCACTGATGTGAGCAGAAAAGAGAATTTTTTTACACAGAAATGAATATATGCATGAAACTCGAGGATTTCAGAGAAACTAGCAAAATTGGTCTTGTGATTTCTGGAACAGGAATGTATAATTAGGACTAAAAGTATTTTGGTGTTAGGAGGGCACTGTACCTACCTGCATATTAGCATCCTGAAAGATGTGACATTTAAGACAATTCTTACACTAAATGTAACATTGCTTAGGTTTAAAAGTGCTAAAGTAAGGAGAGGAGTTACTGTAATATGGATCAGCTCTTACTGAACAATGGACAAACGCCACCTTGTGTTCTCTTTCTTGCTGTCCTTTGACCCCCTTTTTTATATTATATGCCTCCAAGCTGCAGATTTCTCTTAGCGATAAATAGGAACTTAAAAGTTATTATCAATTGAATCTAAGGAGTCCTTTTTTCCATTTCCCCAAAATTATCAAAATGGATTTAATGCTTTAATGCTTCACTTATATCTTGCCTTCACAACCCCATTTTGGTGTTTAACACTGTAAGGACCACGAAGAAATATGTCTTTGAAAGCAAGGCTTCAAAGTCAGATCTTTATTGGTAACCTCCTTCTGACTTCTAAATTTTAACTGTCTCCAAGTGGGGAATAAAAGAGTTAGCATTCAAACAACTTTATGCGCTGCTTGGAAGAGCACTTTAGGAGAATGTTTTTCCTTCTCTTCATGCCTCATTTGTCAGTCAGATTGAGCTCATTCTATGGCAGTCATGTTCTTTATGTGCTTTTCCTTGTCTGATTCACGACACTGGGGAGGGGAAGAGAAGAAATACGTGCAACAGCAGCAAATGGGGCCTATTTGTTTCAAATTCCGCCAAAGGTGAATTTAATGGAACTTAATTGTCAGAGGTGCAGAAAGTGTAGACTTAAAGGCTTATGAATCCAAGCAGTCGCTAAGCATAGCATCTAAAAGTACAATTAAGCTAAGTAAATAAAGACAATTTACATATTGAGCCATCTTTTATGCAGAGTATTTACTGCCTGAAACCGCTTAACTGCCTTTCCCTTGTGGTAACAAAAGTGGTCGGTTCATATGACTTTCTCCCATGATCCTTTGTCACAGGTCCTAGTGCCACCAATCTCATAATAGGCTCCATCGCTGGTGCCATCCTGGTAGCAGCTATTGTCCTTGGGGGCACAGGCTGGGGATTTAAGTAAGCAATGCCGCATGTCTTCTTCTCGGTGGCTCTGGCACTTCTCTTTTCTGCTTACATAACCAAGTTTTGAGTTCCTGCTACAAGATTTTAGCTTTTAACAATCAAACTGCAAAAGCAAATCATTTCACTCAGAAATGGGTTAGAAAAGAGGAAACATGAACCCTCAAATGTCATCTTCAGGCAAGTAGGAAAAGTAGAAGGAATTTACATACACTCCTTTTTAAGGAGAACGAAGTAGAAGTCCTTCAGTAGCAGACATTCCAGCTTATAGGAGCAAGCATTCCGAGATACCTTTATTTATACATAGGTAATGAGGAAACCATGTAGTTGGAAATAAATAAATGTAAATTCCTTGTATCGGTTTAAAACTGATTTCTATTCCACTGATATTTTGAAATTTCACCACCTAAGTAACCACATAGTCATTATCTTTTTTTTTACATGTAACATATGTAGCTTTGTGGTTTGAAAAGCTTTATTATAGGATAATAGATTTTAAAGATATTTGCATTAATTTCCTAATCAGCTGAATTGGTTTCAAATTAGAATTTGAAATCTATGGCCTTGACACTTTATATTTTCTAATTAATGGCTAGCTATGGACATTGGTAGGTCTGGTGTGTCTTCGTAGTGGCCTTTTAGTTTGGATTGAACGTTGCTCACTCAACCAAAATTGTTAAATAGACACACCAGATAATCACAAATAAACTTTAATTATGATAAAAAATTTCAAACCTATTTATCCAGTTTCGATGACTTATACTCCAGAATTATTGGATAGTCACTTTTTATACCTTTGCATGCTATAGTGA